CGATGGCTATTCATTCCATGCATTGCGATTCTTAAAATAATCATCAACTTTATAATAGCCTTTACTCATAAGTATGTTTTACATGAATTTTAAATTTATTTATGGGTAGGTCAACTACATTTTGTGGAACTTTATTGAACATAGCAATGTAAATGCATTGATCCTCTGGTTTTCTGAAGTCTGAAGCTTGGAACGGCAAGTTTATTTTTATTTCTTGTGTTATGATTATGAACACTACTTTTTTTGTGAAGGAATCGTAATGTTTTCTTGCGTAGATAATATTTTCATTGATCTATTGAGAGGCAACAGTCAAATTATTTATTTCTTTAAATATTTCTCTGAGAGATTCTCTAGACCGTAAATTATATATAGCATGGACAGCTCTCTTTTGTGGAATAAAAATATCTTGAATGCTAGCCGCAGAACCCCACAACAATAGATTATACGTCATTACACTATGAAAATAACTAAAATATACCAATCCTGCCGTTTCAACATTTGTCAAGAGTCTAATTTGCTTAACAGCAAATGCTGCAGAACTCAGTCTACTTGACAAATTATCAATATGAGGATCCCATTGCAGTCGGGAATCTAGTGTAATACCAAGGAACTTTGTCGATTTCACCAACTCAACTTTTTCACTATTTACATTTATAAGTGTATTAATATGCCTCACATTAGGTAATGCAAACTTTATGTATTTCATTTTATTTGAATTAAGCTTTAAATAATTACTATCAAACAACTGTAGAATATTGTCGAACTGAATTACATTTTACTGTTTCATAACAAAATTTAAACCTCTCATTTCATCAACTACTATTATGTCACATCACTAATATGCACAATCGGAATGATACCAGTAAGAAAAAATTACAAATTAGGCTTAATGTAATTAATACAAAAATTCTGTTGGTTTCTTAATTTTTTTTTTTTTACACTTTCCCTCGCTTAATTATATTACTCCACAGACATATGATAGAGTTTATCATTAAGTTTTCTTAGTTTTTGTACTGCGTTTTTTAAAAGAAGTTATATAGGGAAAAGCGTTATTTTTTAATATTCACTTGGCTACAGCAAAATCTAAGCTTAATAGTTCGCACATAAAATGATGTCCCCAATTTTTTTAAATGTGCATAATCTTAAAATATTTTTTCCCTTCTGGTATCCCCGTATACAGCCACGTGACAGTTCAACATTCATGTTAAAGTAAATTATTTATTATCACGTTGAATTAGAGTTTGTTTTTAATCGTGTGATTTCTTAGCTTAGTATCTTTTTGGGATTATGTTTATGTTATCACGAACGTATCGCGTGGCAGTTGTTCATGTAGTGAACAAAATGATCATTTCATCTAATCTGTATTTGTGTGCGGAGAGGCGACAGTCGGTTCCCATACTAAATCAATATCATTATACTTCTATTCTCTCTCTATGTTCTGTGTTTAATACAGTTTATCGATACGAAATCAAGTGTCAAAATGGAGTCCAGTGGAGAATGCCGATATTGACATTTCGAAATTGCTCATCATTGATAGAGAATACGAAATAGTGATTTTGACACAATCAAAGTGTCTATTTTTTACGGTGATGACGATTCTTGGTTGTCAGTTGAGTTAGTGAATAGGCCTACTGATATGCTGTTAACTGTACAATTAAGAACAGTCACGCTTTAGTCAAATGTTCCAAAACAAATAATTTTAATTGATATCTAAATGTTAAGATTAAATATAATTAATAAAAGTATCAAAATTATTTTGCAGTACTACATTCAGTGTTTACTGCTTAAGAATTTTTGAAATTGCCGCCCTTTTCTTGTGACACGTTTCGCTTGCCAGACTTTATCTATTAATCAAAATGAGTATTTGACTAACTTAAAAAATTTAATAGCTATTACAATAAAAAGTGTTCATCTTAAAGAACCTAAAGAAGCAGGGTTGGATAGTTTCGGCACGATTCACATGTCATTATAACACTACCAAATTTAAAAGGTTATCCAATCCCTTCAAAGGTTTCGACAATATAGCTTTTTAATTTTGTCAGATAATGATGTATTCATAATAGTCAAAATACGTACGTAATCTGGGATTGTCATTGGGATTGTGAATGCTACTGCGTTTCTTGTTGTTTTGCCGTTTTCGGTGATTGAGTTGTTATTGTTTTTTTGTTGTTTTATTATAGTTTTGTTTTTGTTGTAAATTTTTGCTAAATATGGATGATTCCAGTGCAGGCCCGATTAATTTTGACATTTCAAGAAGTTTTTCTAATGTCTTAATCAATAGTCTAATAATATCTGAATAACTGTTTTAAAAGTAATAAAAATTTAATTTTGTCTACGTTTCTTTCCTGGGCATAGATATAACTAAATTATATTCTAATTATATACATTTACAATTAGAATTTTTCAAAACAACATATAGATATACTTCCATGTTGGCTTAGGACTAAAAAATGAATTTAGAAAATGCTAGCCTCATCTCGAAATGAAAATCTCCAAAAAGAGCCAAATGGATAATTGCCCAACTCGTTCAGACTACCTAACGTTCAAAGTTTAAATAAAACTATTACGATCGGTATTGCTGCTTCTGTGATCCTCCTTTTTCTAATGTTATAATGAATGGATTATAGACCACTTGTACGCCTAGGCGAATAACTAAATCGCAAATTGACATCGAGTTCGTCCTCGTTCGTAAAATTATTTTTCAAGCTTTGCAACGTGACAGTAAAAGTATTCTATATTTGAGGTGTAATGCTGTTAGCCTTTAACATATAACTTCTCACATTATGTGATCCAACATTGTGTTCTGCCACTTTTTATTTTACTTAAACCCCTATTGTCCTTTCTGAGATATATCTGCCCATTCAAAAGTTAATCAATAGCAGAAATGGTTTCAAAGCCATCATTTTTATAACCTTCAACTACATTACGACTTAATGTACTCTAAGATTTTCCTGAAAACAAGTTGAAAAAAAATAAATAAGTGTTTTAAGTTTAGTAACTTGAAGCACAAACTATTTTGTCCATTATGTGGATTGGGTTCTTATTGATAAACTATGTATTCATATCCTAACAGAAAATAGATAACACTATTTTCAAATCAAAAGTTATATCATTATTGCACCACAATATGGCATACTGACAATTTCAAGCTATCCTATAAATATGTAATGTAAAAAATTTTAGTCTCAAATTCATCTGTTTTATTTCCAATTTGTAACTTCTAGTAACTAAAAAGCACCGAGGCGTAAGACACCATCGGCCTTATGATGGCTGTGTAGAGCCAGAGAGCTATATTGAGTTTCAAACCCCATCTATTTCCCGCTAGCCGAGAACATATCATCAGAGCTCTTTTAGACTTCTGTATAATTCCGTCTACATGTGCGTTCCAGGTAACTTTCTGTCCAGGTTTACCCCCAGATACTTAACCTCCGTCGAGAACGGAATGAGCCTCTCATTAATGGTCGGAGGCCAAAGCTTGTCCAGTTTTTGTTTCCTGGTGAATGGGACGACGACGGTTTTTGCTGCATTAATCGACAAACTATTGTTTTCGCACCATGAGTTAATTGTGTTCAGCGCCCTCTGCATAACGTACTTTGACAGCTTCTTCTCACTATCACCACCAGGTCATCGGCATAGCCCAGGGTGTCAAAGCGGAGTTCAGCCATCTTATGATGGAGCGGGTCCATCGCAAGAGTCCAAAGTAGCGGGGAGAGTACTCCACCTTGCGTGCTTCCTCTTGCTGTTGCTAACTCTAGTGAATCATTGAGTAGTTCCATCCTCACTGTCCTACTCTTTAGCATGGCTCTTATCCATCTTACAGTAGTCCAGTGCCTTTTTAACCTTGTTTATAAGGTTAAGTAGGGCTGTCTCCGTAGATCTGCCGCTTCGGTAGGCGTGCTGGGTATCATGTATGGGTTTGTTGATAAGACTTCCTTGTCTGATATAATTGTCTTATACCTTCTTGGTCTTTAATAAGAATGATGTAAGGCTGATTGGCCTGAAGGACTTTGGTGATGTATAGGCCTTCTTTCCAGCTTTAGGTATGAACACGTCTTTCACCTTAGCCCACGATTCTGGAATGTATTCCCAGGCAAAACTGGCTCTGAAGATTTTTATCAGATAGGGGATGAGATTGGCGGCACCCCGCTGTTAAAGCACCGGCGCCACGCCGTCATTTCCTCCCGATTTAAAAGGTTTGAACGAGTTAATGGCCCATTTCACTATTCCAGGCCCAATAACGAGAGCGGCTATTCTCCAGTCCGCTGGTAGAGGCCTTCGCAGAGCGATCGCTACTGCATTATCAGTAGATCCTGGAAAATGGGTGGTAGATATTAGTTACCTAAGGGATTACAGTGTGCCTTTGCCATGATCTTATGAAATCTTGCTCCTTGAGGCGTATTGCTTATCTCCTCGCAGAACTTCATCCACGATGCACGTTTGGCTTTCCTAATTTGTTTACTGTATTTGTTTAGGGCCATCCTGTAGCCATCCCATTCCTGGGTGTTTTTGTCCCTGTTGAATAACCCCCGTGTTTTCTCCCTAAGCTTTTTCAGCTTCGAGTTCCACCACGGTACTTTCCGTTTGGATGACTTAATTTTGGGTGTACAGCTAGCCTCGAAGGCATCTTTAATGCCATTAGAGACAGCCTCCACCGCAAATTCAATGCTCTCAACCGTTCTAATGCATTTAGGAATTACTTCTAAGTTCCGTACCAGGTGTTTGTTATATTCGTTCCAGTCGGTGCGCTTAGGGTCCCTAAATTCACTAGTATGTGTACTAAGTTCCGGTGTATTCAGATCGTTAACATTAGATTGAAACTTTTCAGAACTATTATGCTACAGTAATATTTTTCACACTCATAGACAACTAAATAAATAAAAATGATCCAGGTCGATTTAATCGATTAACCTAATGAAAAATCGGTTCAATTCTAAGATAGATAACCACTATTTTTTTACACACGTCCCTGCAGACGACTGATTGACAATCGTAGAGTATTATTGTTCTGTGCTGACATTATTAGTCTATGCGACTGTCAAGACAAGCGAGACTTTTTTTTCGATATATTTCGGAATGAGATGAGAAATAAACGTCGCGGAAATTCACTTTAATGTGAAAATGGCAAATACAGGATTGTTGCCATTTGTTCGTGGCGTTGATTTTACGTGTAATGATTTCAGCGTAAGTACAATCTAAATATTAAAAAATAAGATGTTATCACCACTAACCTGTTTACTATTTTTAATGGCCTAATTTTTAATCTTTTTTTTCAGGATGACAAATTTCCTGATGCCATTAGGTACATGACGGGACTTCAATGGCTAAGGCTGGATAAAACAAACTTGACTGATATTCCTGAAGAATTAGGAAAGTTAATGAAATTGGTGAATAGTTTTTGTTACCTCATATTTTGCAATGTTTTTGATCTTTTGTTTTCTAACGTCAATAAGCAAACTCTTAAGACAATTAATGATTTTCTGCTTTAACTTATGAAAATTCTTAAATTGATTAATGGTATTTGCTAAAACATTTCTGTTCCACCCTTCAACATTTTATAAAATGTAGAGAACTGAAACATAGTTTGTATTGGTATCAGTGGGTCTATACCTTTTCTTAAATTTGGAAAACAAAATAAGCATAACATAAATTTTATTTTGTGAGTCAATTATCCAAAAGCTTACCTGTCAGATTAAATTCAATTATTGCTTATTATTCTTAGCTAAACTGATATAATTATTTATTTAGAATTACTTATTTACTCCATTTGCTCAACAGCCTAAAGTGGGTCTAGGCTTCCAACATTAAAACACACTGAATACAATTTATAAGTTTACTTTGATTATGTTTTAATCTTAATAGAGTGTATTGAGTAGAAAAAAAAACGAATTAAATTTAATTATAGAGTTTAGACTGATAATTATCATTATCACAATAATTGTGACAATAATCATCTTGATAAATATATATTGATAATTATAAGACACTACACAAACTTTTTTTGTTATTTAGGAATCATCTTTGAACAACTATAAAAATTGTCTAGGATGGACCTACAAAACAATATAAAAAGCCTCCTTTTTATTAAAAAATATTTTTATTTATATTTTCATTTTACTTTTTGTTCAATGTGATTTCATGGTATTTTTTATTTGTTTGTGTGATGTTTATAATTTAAAACAACAAATAAAAGTTTATTCACTTATGAATGCCTTTCTGTTTTTAAAAAAATGTTGCCAGTTACTATGGATAATTATCAGATATTTATCAGTAAAAAATAATTATCTTGATAATTACGTACACAGGCTTATTGCCACTTTCAACTAATGTGTTTCTTACTCAATATGTGTATATAATTCTAGAAGCCTGGCCTGGCTTTGCATAGGTTGTTTTAAATACAGATAATGTTTTAGATATATGTTTTCATAAAGGATAATTTTTCAAATAAGTCCAGTAGTTTCAAAGCCTGTTCAATGCATACAACCTATCAAATCTTTCCTCTTTATAATATTAGTATAGATTAGATATGAATTAATGATAATCATGTTTCAATTCAAGTAGGTAATTAATAAGTTTAGAAATAAACCACTACAATTATATTTTTGTATTTCATTACAGGAAAATTTATCATTGAAAAACAACGACCTTGAAAAATTATTTGGGGAGCTAACAGAGTTGAAATGTTTACGGTCATTGAATGTAAGGCATAATAAAGTAAAAAGTTCAGGAATCCCAGCTGAACTTTTCCGACTAGAAGAGCTCACTACTTTAGATTTGTCCCACAATAAATTAAAAGAAGTTCCTGAAGGATTAGAAAAAGCAAAATCATTACTAGTTTTAAACCTCAGTCACAATAAGTAAGTATAATATCTAATTAAATCAAAGAAATTTATTTTTGATACCTTATATAAAAGAATCATGTCCATTTTTGACATTAAAATTAACAAAATCTTCTGGTGATGTCATATATGTCAAAGTATAGCTTACTTTTTACTTATGTTAGACTGCAAATTAATATTTAAAACAAAGCCAGGAAAAATAGAAAAGCTGTTAATTATTTTTGTTTCATATATTAACAAATATATACAAGTTATTTCCACAAGTTATAGTAAAACTATAAAAAGCTTTGATTATAATGTAATAAATTTGAAACTAGTTTAACAATTATATATTATATCCCTGGTCTCTAGATGAAAAGAGGCTTAATAGTTTTTCTGTTTTAACTTTTAAGCTAAAACCAATTCAAGTTATTACTAATGTTAGGTACACAGCCTTCATAAGAAAATGTCTCAGGTCAATCAGAGTATAGAAAATGGTTCTTTGTTGAGTATACATATATATATAATATATATTTATTATACATATATGTTATACTATATATGTTATACACTGAAAATTATGTAACTGCTTAAAATATGGAATTATTCAACTTTCAGAATAGAAAGCATACCACCTACATTATTTGTCCAGCTTACAGACCTTTTATTTCTTGACTTATCCAACAATATTTTGGAGACTCTACCCCCTCAGACAAGAAGATTGGCGAATCTGCAGACTCTCATTCTCAATGATAACCCTCTAGGATTGTTTCAACTAAGGTATGTACATGACAAAACTTTAATAAAGATCTCAAAGTCAATTTTGTTCTGGCCAGTCTAACAAAACATTCCAATCTAAGGACCCGCCTCTTAGCTGACTTGGAGAATAAGAGAGCACTAATATATCTCAAAATAGTGGTAAATCAACCATAAAGGCACATGAACATATTTATTTGGGAAAAAATACTGCCCTAATGAATTCCACAAAAAGTTTACTTAGTGATTAAAAAGTAAAACAAATGAGTAATTTGTTAAATCATCATTATCAACCATTTTTACATCCCCAATGCAGGGGTTCAGGCCTTCCTTATGGATGATTATTAAAATTTCCTTCAATTCACATTGGGCCAGTGTGATTACTCTCCACACTGGCCCAATGTGAATTGAAGGATATTAACGATTGCAAATGCAGCCGCCACCAACTGCCTTCTATAGCATGGAGAAGCTCAAAAAAATTTTCTATTCGCCCATTTTGTGACTGATATTTGGGGAAGTTGCTAGGCACAACTATCGCAGACCGCGGCCCTTCATCGAGCTACTAATTAATTTGTTTTATATAATATGAGCCAATTAACTATATCTTATGTTATATTTTTTTATTTTCAGACAACTGCCATCATTACAAAGTTTAGAAACTTTACATATGCGTAACACACAACGGACTCTCGCTAACCTGCCAACATGTCTCGACGCTTTATCGAACCTGTCTGATGTAGACCTATCGAAGAATGCACTGACCAAGGTGCCCGAAGCTCTATACTCCCTACAGAGCCTTAAAAGACTGAATCTCAGTGACAATGAAATTACTGAGGTGTCTTCAGGTAAGAGATTCTCATATAAAACACAATTTAGATTTCACTAAGCTTCCTTTTATTTGGGGTGTAAAATACTCATATGTTAATTAAACAATCATTTCCCTGATTTACAATTTTCTCTGAATTCTAAACTTTGCTAAAATACTATAAGTTTTACCTTAGAACAATTTTAATTACACACTTTAATTAATATATAATGATGATGATGATGATGATGATATATATTTAGTTTATTTACATCACAATAGATGCATTAAGACAATATTGATAATATTCTTTTATGGTATGTTTATTTTAAAAGTATTCTTCAAAGTCTCTTCACATATTGTAATCTGTTTCAAATACTTTCACTCACGCATAAACGCCGTTGATAATTTATTGACATGCAAGTTTTCACTTCATTACACTGTTACAGATGTCTACTATAGATGTGCAATTAAATATGTAAAGAGTGTTATACTACACAGTAAAAAAAATGATGATAGATAAAGCTATACATAGTAATACGAAGGTGATTCATTGCTATATTACAGTTTCAATCTACTCGTAGTAATATGTTTATCCAACTAAACTAAAAATATTCTTAATTAGATTTTTTTTTAAATACACTTTTCTATGGCACTGAGAAAGGGGACTTGAACTCATGACCTTTCTCAAACCGGGCGACTGCTCTAACCACTAAGCTACCCAGGACCTAACAGGTCTGAGAAATCTTAGAGTGCAAGGGACAATGATTTTTTAAGTTTTCTCATTAAGAATATTTTTCTAGTTTAATCTAGTTAAATTCCATCTTGCGTCTATTCCGTCACCTCTGTAAGATGCTTTGTCAGCTATGTCAGCCATTGAATGTGTTATGGTACAGTTAATTACGATTACATATTATTTTCAACAGCTATGGATATCTGGCAGAAGTTAGAGAGTCTCAATCTCTCCAGGAATAAGCTGACTACGCTTCCTGCATCGCTGTGCAAGTTGCAGAACTTGCGGCGCTTGCATGTGGATGACAATCAACTGGACTTTGAGGGTATACCCTCAGGTATCGGAAAATTGGGCAATTTGGAAGTGTTTTCTGCAGCCAACAATCTTCTAGAGATAATACCAGAAGGACTTTGCAGGTAATTTGATTAGTTATTTGAGTGACTTTGATTTGGTAAGCCTTTCTCAAGAAATTTTCCAATAGTGGAAATTACATTGAAAAGTGTAGTTTCATATAGTAATAGTTGCAACAATAAATTATAAAATATGTTGGAAACTGTTACCTATATGTAAACAATGACTATGTAGTGTTTTTTGTTTTATTATAATAATTAAGTATTATTTTTTTTGGAAAATTAACTTGCGATTAATAGTCTGTGAATTACAAGAACCGAAACGTGAGAGGCCATGACGGAGGATCATGTGACGTCACGTTTCAATAAACTAAACGTCAACGTCTTCGATGCGAGTGCAACCACAACGTTTATTGAAATGTGACGTCACTGCTCTTTAAGGAGCAAAATGAATTTGGAAGTGGCTTAAAACAATCATAAGTTTTAAAATACTTTTTCAAAACAATTAAGTAACCAATTAAGACTTTTTTTTATGTAGTGATAAAATTAAAAAATACTGTAATGATTTTAAAAATCTTTAATTTTCAAACAATTGTAGAGAAAGGTATTTATTGTTTGCAATTATTTATGACCTATTTTAATTACACTGTTATAGATGTGGTTCACTAAAAAAACTGAATCTGAGCTGTAACAAATTAATCACGCTTCCTGACACCATACACCTGTTGAGTGATTTGGAAAGTCTCCAACTGCATGGGAATCCGGAACTGGTGATGCCACCGAAGCCAGTGGAACAGGCACGTGGGGCGGGCCTACAGTATTACAACATCGATTTCTCGTTACAAGCCCAGTTGCAACTAGCAGGCGCCGCCACAAGTGAACCCGCGACGCCAAACAGTGAGTCGTTGAGTGATATATGTTCACCGCTTACGTTACAACTTTTCGATGACGAATTATTTTTTGAATACAATATATAATTGATTGGTGTCAATCATTTTTCTTAATTGGTCATGGAGATATCAATAGGGTATCCTACTCTGTTTGAAATGGTACTTGTGATTGTTTATTTTAATTTAAATGAGCTAGAAAGATATTTCGAAAAAGTTTATGTTTAAATGTTTCATGACTTTTCGTTAGTGGGTCAATTCATACATCTCATTTATACAGGGTTATTTGTAAAACACCAGCAACGTCACACTACTAGATATCGAATTTTATAAACAACAGTTTGAATCAATGAATGAACATTTTATTGTACACCACAAAGGAAAACAAGCATAAATTTACAGTACAATCGGCGGTATTTTTACTGAAAACCAATTTCTCCCGGGCACTCGTATAAGTTGGACATACCGTAGGCCTAATTAATACGTATTTAATCTACCAGTTTTTACTTACACAATATTTTGAACAAAACGCATTCGAGCTGAAAATAAAAGAAATATTTATTTATGTATAAAAGTAAAATGTAACTACCTAATTATCGAAATTCAAACGAAAGAACGTTGTTGTTTATGATTTGACTATCTAATTCTGCGAGGTAGGTGATGATTTACAATTAACTCTATCGCTCTGTACATGTAAAAAAAAATTCAAACAATTAGCTTTAAAAGTATTAACAGTACAATCAACCTTATAGCTAGAGCGCAATATCTTCCAAGCAACCGAAAGATAGGCTTGATGTTGTGTACTAAAAAGATATGCCGTAAACGGCCTACATTATCAGCATAAAGGTTCTCTATACTGATATAATACATATATATTCTACATCAGTGGCAGGCTAACCCCATTAGAGGACCAGCGCGGCTCCAGGCCCGGGTCGCAAAGACTCCCCTCCCCCCCCCCATCTTACAGTGTGTTCTTATTAGTCTACGGAGCCTACAACCCGAATTTACGATAATTTAGAGGCCGCTCAGGACCCGAGCTCCCCGCCACCCTTAGTCCGCCACTACTCTACATATCTAATAATAATAGTTATCTCGCGAAACAGGCGTAAAATCGGACCCTATAGCGCGCAAGTTACGTCTGAGACGCGGCCGCGCCGAGCCCGAGCAACGGGACTCGGCGCTGATCCTGCGAGGGATGCAGGAACAGGCCAACACACAGCAAGTAAACGACCTGCGACACGAACAAAGAAACAGCGAACTCAAGTGAGATACAAGATTTGCATTCATATTGTTATACTGGAAAATGTTCTTAATGATAAATGCCTTAAAAAGTTCACTTTGTCTGATACTCCGAGATGGTATTCTAAACCCACGATCATCCGCAATCAGGGCGACTGCTCGTACAAGTTTCATGATTTTCAAGATAATAATTGTCCATATTTAGTGGCAACAATTTTTTAAAGACAGAAAGGCATAAATAAATAAACATAAATGAATAAACTTTATTTTTATTGTAAACTATAAAAATTATTTCTATACAAACAAAATAAAATTAACTGTGAATACACATTGAACAAAAAGTGAAATGAAATATTTTTTAATAAGAAGTGGACTTAAGTATATTTCTTAATTTAATTAGGTCTATCCTAGACAATGTTTCTATCAGAAAAACACATTTGATAGTTGTTTAAAGATGATTAGAAATGAAATATTTTTTAATAAGAAGTGGACTTAAGTATATTTCTTAATTTAATTAGGTCTATCCTAGACAATGTTTCTATCAGAAAAACACATTTGATAGTTGTTTAAAGATGATTATTTTTTAATAACAAGAACCGAAGTACAAAAAGAATTTGTGTAGTGTTTTATAATTATCAAAGATAATTATCACTCCGAATCCTGTTTTAAAGATAGTAGCTTAATATCTTAAAGCAAAAAAAGAGCTGAAAAGCTGTCTCACGTAAAAAAGAGCGATGGCCAGCAATAAAAGAAGTTGATCCACCTTGGCAATCACAAGTCCAAAATGCCTAATAATAGTGTAATTAAGCTTCCCAAAATCGTGATCATATCTTCGTTCCTTCAGTACCAAGTTAAACATTTGACCAAATCCATAAATATTTATATATATAATAGAATAGTGATGACTACTGGGTAAAAAAAAAGAAATTCCGTTGAGTCCGGTAGTCAGAGTCCGTTTTCTAAAAAAAAGATTTAACAAGAAATAGTTTAGATAGCAGGCATGAAAGTTCAGGAGTGGGGGCCTGCTACGTCACAGTTTCGTAAAAAAATGCACAAAGGCCAAAGGTTTTGTGACATTTTAATTCAATGTATCGCCGTGATTAATTGATTACGAAAAAAAAATACGTGTGTTTAATATTTTTAACAATCTACCTGACGGACAAACAAACAAAAGCTAATCGTCATCTCCATTGCAAAAATAGAGAGTCAGTGTATGAGCCTAAGTACGAGAGTAATTATAAATATAAAGAGTTTTTTTGTATTTTAAGATTCTTCTAATGCTACTATTGCGTATTCTTATAATGCAAATATTTATTAGGTAAAATTGTTCAACAATCATAACAAGATCTATAAGTCATTATGCAAACATTTCGAATTTACTCATGTTGACATCAAACAAATGCCGTGTTTACAAAACAGTATTGTCAACGACAATGATACGATCTACGTTCATTTATTAATTGTGTCATTCGATTTGTGTAGACCGAAACGTTGGGACGAGAGCTTGGAGAAGCCACCGTTGGACTATTCCGAGTTCTTCGATGAGGATACCGGACAGACGCCAGGCTTGCAAGTGTGGGAGATCGAGAACTTCATACCAGCACCCGTTGATGAGGTCAGTTGGAGATTGCATATTAATAAAATTAGGGGGCTCCAAATTTCCGCACTTAGACGCCTTAATAGATGTATCGATATTATTCATCACTAATAAGAATCTTACTATTATTGAAATAAAGCTTTTTTTTGGATTTGTTTAATACATAATTTTTGAACCTATTACACGTATTCCCGTTTTCACTAAACTTATGTGTTGCCTAAATATTTAGGAATTGCCTAAGGTGAAAGTGCATTTTACCAATGGCTAGGAATCACCTAATGTCATTAAGCAATGTCAAAAGTTATGATATGCGTAATCGGCGCCTTGCGCTAGGAATTTGCTTAATACGACAGGTCACAAATGTGACAAGGATAGAAGAAAAAATGTTTATTTGGGATTAAACGAATCTACTTAGGGGATTTGTAATGCTTTGTTCAAGGTTAGTGAAAACGGTTGTTAGAAGTTGAATTTCTCAAAATCTTTTCTTAGTAAACATCTATGTATGTTTAAACTCTTAGTGAGGCAAATTTTAACTCAATCCGCTCAGTAATGCATATACACTTTCGGTCCGTTGCACAAACACCCATTTCGGTATAATGACGTTTTTAAGCTCTAATGAATGTCAAATTTGTATCGGTAAATGTCAGTTTAAATGGACGTTTGTGCAACTGGCTGTTTTACATTTGATATCATTAAAAACTGTTTTTCATTCTGGAGGCAGAATATTTCAGTAATAAGTCCTATTTTTGTAGGTTGCTCACGGTAAATTCTTTGAGGGTGACTGTTATATCATACTGAAGACGGCGATCGAAGAACAAGGCCAGTTATCTTGGGACATCCACTTCTGGATAGGGTCCAAAGCTACTGTAAGTATTAAAGCTTGTTAACTCGAAATACAAGGACCGAAACGTATTATATAAATAGCAAACTGTATATCCATTTCGTTGCTAACAATAATAACAATATTCGGGACATATTTATTTGTTATGTTTTCACAATATGCTTCAACATATTGGAAATTTTTCACTGTTATTTTTGGTTAGTGGTCTACTTCAAATTTTTTTTTTTTAATAATTACAAGTAAATACTTAGTTTTAATAATTAGTAATCAAACTGTAGGTATAACCGCAACAAAGGTCATTTACCTCTGGGTAGGGTGACCAAATGTAGAAACATGTTAAAAACACCTCGTTTCTGTGTCCCCAATGTTAATAAATTAAAAAAAGCGTAACTATTATTTACAGTAATGAAAATTGATATACTCACGATGATGTATTAAAAAGTTTCGATGCGTTATTTGCGCAGAACATTGACAATTGCCTGAGTTTCACTTTAGTCAGGTTTCAGCAAACGTGGTTAACGTCATTTTCACTCGTAATTTTCTGTGAAAAGTTGTAGAAAAAAGTTTAAATAATGCACAAATTTCACATTGACAATGAAAAAGCAGAAAGATATCATTTCATAAGTAAATACTGTACTTACTCTTTTTAATTTTAATAAAAATAATAAAGCGTCATTGAACGCGGCCATTTTTTCGAAAATCGTCTTCTACGACTACGATAAAATAGGATTTAAGAATAATATTTATTCATCAACAATATGAGCCCCTATGACAAAAATTCAAAATTTTATTATACTTAAGTTTTACTGTTACGATAAAAAAAAATTAAAAATTGTCAAATAATTATCGAATACATATTGATTGAAACGATTTTATTAACTCAATCCCTATTTATGTTTTTAACTTTAGAGGGTTAGATTTCAGTTATGCGAATTCAAATTATGGTTATTAAAAATGTGTGTAATATGAAAATTTTAATAAATATCAAATATCTAAACGGTCAAACAATTTTATATAAAGACAGTTTTTAATCATTCGGAAATACAAATTGCATGAATTAGATTTGTTTACAAACGTCACCGTACCCGTGCTATATGATACAGACTATAATAATAAAACATCATTGTGTACTCATTAAAATAGCCCTGTATAATATTGTAGTTGGATAAAGGTGCGTGCGCAGCTATGCACGCTGTCAACTTGCGAAACTTGCTCGGCGCGAAACGTACTCAGCGTCACGAGCAAGGTGATGAGACTCCGGAGTTTCTAGCTCTGTTCTCCACACCACCTGTCTACATACAAGGCAGTCATACACCGTCCGGCTTCTTTACAGTAGACGAGCCGGTAAGTTTAATGTTTTGGACCGCTCATGTTAGATGTAATTTTGTTAATAATGTCATTATTGACGTATCTGGAAATCCTTTTCTCTACCTATATATATCCCGTGGGAACTTGGCCTCTAGACGCGGAGACTAAAGATGAACTAACTTACTAACTATGATATACAAACTTAAATTAGTAAAAGAGTAACTTAAAACAACATTTTCGACAAACCGGGACAAGCTTAACATAATGTTTTTGTACAAAGGTTTTACAATTTTTCACCTTTATTCACCAGACAGCTCAGAGATTTCCAAGATTGGAAAGTACTGATAGATTGGTTGGATGTTAATTAACTTTGGGAACTATTGCTCTAATAGCTAAATCCATCTATAGGGCCAGTTTCTACTTTCATAGAAAATGGCAATGACTTGCGTATCTACCAATTTCATAGAATAACTGAAATATATCGTCAAATGCCTACTAATAGCTTAGAAAATAGTAGAACATTATCAAAGTGATTTTTGTTATTAAACAGCACTACGTCACTCGGTTGTACCGCGTCCATGCTGCCGGGAACAGTATCCACCTGGAACCAGTGCAGGTCACATATGAATCTCTCGATCCTCGCTATGTTTTCGTACTGGATGCCGGTCTCGTCATCTACCTATGGTAAACATTATCTTTCTCTTTCACATCATCATCAGCCCTTTTACGTCCCCACCGCCAGGGCTCAAGCCTTCCTTATGGATTGTTAAGGACGATGGGCCATGACCCTCTACGCTAGCTCAAAGTGGGTTGGAGGGTATTTACTTAATGCCGGGACCAACGGCTCAATGTGCCTTCTGAAGCATGGAATGGCTAGAGATAATTTTTTTGGTCACCCATCCCGTGACCGACCCTTGCACAAGTTGCTTAACAACAACAATCGCGGATCGCGACGCTTATCCACTACGGCACCGAGTTATTACTCTCTTTGACATACACGTATTCATTATAATTGGCAGGTTTAACAATAATGAAATATGTTAGAAATTGTAGCTTATATGTAAACAATAACTATGTATTATTTTTTGTGTTTAAATAAATTAATTGTTAGTATATTTTATTTTCGCAAAATTTATTTGCGATTTATAATCTGTGGATGACATGACGTCACATTTCGTAAAAAAATGTCAATGATTCTTGTGAGTGCCACCAGTATTCATGTTTATTTGTATGTCATGATTCGAAATATCTCGTGATTGTTTTTTTTTTATCTATAAATAGGTTTTCCGTTATTTAGTAACATTCTTTGAATAAAAATAAATCCGATAGTGGAATAGATGAAGCCAAGTATCGATTGAGGTCAAAATGAAAACCTGAATAATCTGACAGACGGTTTTTTAAATTAGTTTGATTATTAAGTATCAAGTCCGAGGACTCAAGCAGGATACATGAGTATATTAATATAAGTATCCGAATATTCATTACACTTGATTACTTTAAAAAATTTGCTTACTGACAAAGTTTCTGGATGTAGGAAAAGTAAATTGAACTATTCATTCTACTGTTGAAAAAAAAAAATAAAAGCATAAGTAATTATTCATATATATTCTGTTTTTATGAGTTGGACGTGGTGTTATTATAACTGCTAGTTACTATTCTTTAAAATATGATAATAAATCGATCTGTTTAAATACTGAAGGAATGGTAAAAAATCGAAGAACACACTGAAATCGAAAGCGCGTTTGTTCGCTGAGAAAATCAACAAAGAGGAGAGGAAAAACAAAGCGGAATTAGTCGCTGAACCACCTGGTAAAGAGCCCGCTAGGTTCTGGAAGACCCTCGAGTACGAAGGGGACCTCCCATATGTACCGCAGGTAACTTTATATTTTACAGATGATCAATTGAAGGCAAATATTTATATATTGATTTGCCTTCCTTTATAAAGTCATGTTTGAGATGTTACGATAACTAATTGTAGTTCTTTAGTAATATTTTAGTCCAATTCAATAGTTATTATATTTTGATTTATTAAAAATATTTTATGAAATGAAAATGTATATAAAAACTGAACTAGATTAATCTGACGGTTTAAGCTTACTGAAACAAGTGTTTGAAAAATTCGTCAGTCCTGTTAGGACCTGGGTAGCTCAGTGTTTAGAGCAGTCGCCCGGATTGAGAAAGGTCGAGTCTCATATCAGAGTGCCAACGACAAAGATTTTTTTAAGCATTTTTCGCTAAAAATATACGTCCTAGTTTTATCAAACTGCTATCAACTGTTTATTAAAAAACTTTAAATCGAAAATTAAAACCTGTTTAAGTTACATTTAAGATCGTTTGAGACGTGCTTAACTACAAATTCTAAATTCAGAAACGGGGTTATAATCTGGAAAGTTTACCAGTGGACAGTCAGCGTTAGACGGATTTCTAGCGATCTAAATATGTGCTTTAGGAACACGTGCCTGATGATTTCGTTTGGGCACCGCCTCGTCTGTACCGCGTGGAGTTGGGTATGGGTTATCTGGAATTACCTCAGCCGGAGGCGGCTCCGTACTCGCGCGACGTGCTCGCCACTCGCAGCGTATACATATTGGACGCGCACGTAGACGTGTTTGTATGGTGAGTGCTACTCGTACGAATCGACATGACACTTATGGACAATTCTGCTTTAATTAATTCATATCGTACAAATAATAGGGTGTAGACAACTTTTTATATTTAATTTTTATATATACATTAAATATATTTAAAAATAATAAATAAAAAATTTAATTTAATTTTTAAAATTTCCCGCTAACACGCATATTTCTGTCATGGCGCCACTATCACGTTATGATCCTTTAAAACTAATATCGTTCCATATATGCACAAAGTTTAATTCTCAAGTTTGATTGACAATACACGATTTATATATTATCCGGCGCATGTAAATAGGACACTTACTATATTAATCACATCACTACATATTAAAATAAACATTAGATTAAGCGTACAATCACAAACAATAGGATATGCAACATTAAAATAATATTGTGTCCCACGACTGCACCAAAGATGTTACTAGCTCGGTATTTGTCGGTCTGTTTATTTTTCAGAAACAGACCGACAACGATTTTCAGCTAGACCCTATGTATCCACCACACGGAATCGAGACCCGATCACCGAGAGTTCTGGCAGAGTTTAGCCTTCTTTTTTATATATATGGTTGTACACAAACAGATATCTGATGTGCGTGGCCAATTTTCAAAGAGCGGCAAATCATGATCAATCAGACCATGATCAATTCATGTATCGCGGAATAAGGTTGTCCGTACGTGTGAGTGAGACATACAAGTAATTTGTCGTATTTTACACTTTATGGTGACTAAAATAAGATTCATTTTTATTTTTAATCATACATTCCATCATTGTCGAATTGGTAGGTCTGTTTTGCACAAAAGAACATTTACGTTTAGGTATATAAGTTTCCTAACTTAATGCGTTAGGAGACGGTATCAAAATCCGGCCGGCTACACACGAAACTTAATATTATGCATTGCAAAGATCTGTTTTTCTTTAAATCTAAATAAGAAATATGTTCGTGTCAGGTTCGGTAAGAAATCATCCCGTTTGGTTCGCGCGGCGGCCGTGAAACTCGCACAAGAACTATTCAATATGGTGTCGCGGCCTACTCACGCTCTAGTCACAAGGTTGCAGGAAGGCACCGAAACGCAGGTGAGTTAATAGGTTAGTTTGCTACTTCTTTTTATTGATTATATGAATAGTCCATTAATATCTGAGAAATAATGCAGAAGTAAAAGCATGTCTGCGATGTCCACAAAATGTAATTGACCTACCCATAAATAAGTTTAAAATTCATGTAAAGAACATACTTATGAGTAAAGGCTATTATAAAGTTGATGATTATTTTAAGGACCGCAATGCATGGAATTAATAGCCTTCGCTTTGTTCTATAACGACTAATTATATGTACAAACTATAACCTACAGACTTTGAAAGTTGTGTTTATTACATATTATTTTGGTAATGACATGATTTATGTAAATGTTATTGCTTATGATAAAGAGCTGGTAAGTTTCTTTCGCTTGTCCTTCTTGTCAGCTAAAAGACGTCTTGAACGTCAAGTGCTTGTAACAAGCTTACTTGAATAAAGATATTTTCATTTAATTTCATTAATAGTTTCGGTGATACAGTACATATACTTTTATGGAACTGCTGCTAGTAGACTGAAAACGTTCCATGGAAATTTTCGCCCATACCCGAAAAAAGTATGGGCGTCTACGAAAAAAGTTGTTAGATTTACGGTCAGTTGCACAAACGTCCATTAGGGTTTAATGACGCTATTAAGCTCTAATGAATGAAAAATCGGTATGGTTAATGTCGCTTTAAACTAATGAATATTTTAATGGTCGTTTGTGCAACTGGCTGGTACCAACTAATTTAATGCCAAATGTATTTTTGCAAAAAATTTTAAGCGTTATATTTTCCAAAATATTTTTTATATGTTTATAAGTTAAAATGGTTTATATTTTTTCACTTGTGGTAAACATTCCCATTACAATATTTAACTTACTCTTAATTCTGTAGGTTTTCAAGACTTACTTTTTGGGTTGGGACGAGGTGATAGCGGTGGATTTTACACGCACAGCTGAATCTGTGGCGCGGACTGGCGCTGATTTGGCTAGTTGGGCCAAACAACAAGAAACCAAGTAATATATTTTATTTGTTATCATATACATATAATAATATTAACTTCAGATGTCAGGGTCATATCCATATTAACATATACTTTTGAGGTGCTCACTCACTATATTTTTTACAGATTCTTGTATGGAGGAAACAACAACTTTTAATTTTGATTCGAAATTAATTAAGCCCGGATCCAATTGAAACACATTAATGGGGCCCTAAAATACTCTTTAGCCCAATTTCACAACATGAATATAATTCTGTATTTTCGATTTCTATTATAACTTGAACAAATTAACATGACACCTGAGGGCATCATAAATTATCGAAAAAATAAGTTTCTGTGGAGTAGTATTAGCATTTCGAATATAGTCGAAATGTTCGTTTTCGGAAAATTGAAGAGGCCTGCAGTTGTCATGTTAGTTCGTGCGAGTAGTAGAATTTATGTATTTTTGTCATTTATCTCTCAGAGCGGATCTGTCGGCTTTATTCACGCCACGGCAGCCGGCTATGCCGGCATCGGAAGCGAAGACTCTGGCTGACGAATGGAACGAAGATCTAGAAGCTATGGAGGCGTTCGTACTCGAGGGGAGACACTTCGTCCGCCTTCCGGACAACGAGCTCGGCGTGTTCCATAGCTGTGACTGTTACGTGTTCCTGTGCCGATACGTGCTGCCCGCTGAGGTATTGTGTTCAATAATCATTTGCTTGAACTTGTCCCAATTTCGTATAATGTAAAATGTTTAAAAAATCCACTTTGTGCCATCTCAGAGTGCCAGCACAGAATAATACAGTAGCGAAACTTAGCGAATTCTGGAAATAAATACCTACGCTGCATTGGAGTGTTAGGATTGCCTTATTTATAAAAGTCGTTAGTAATAAAACAATATTATATTATTTTTAAAAGATGTACACACTGAAAAGTATTTTCGTTACAAGTTTTGAACGCTTTATTGTTTAATTTTATGGTATAAAAAAATACTCAGTCTTATAGTTTTTTTAAGTATACTATCGGGAAACAGGGGCAAGAGCCGTTAAAAGAGATCTCATCTATTTCATTTTTTATTTATTCCTCTATTTTACAGTAATGTTTCTTGGAAGTTAATGTTTAAAAATGGCATCCAATATCTCGATGCTAATACTAATATATACTAATCCTGTGGTACAATTAATAAACTGAGAATTCACGTAAATGCGTGCGTCTCTGTGTGCACATGATTTCGACCGTTTGTTCTTAGTTTCTCTACTGTATTATTCTGTGGTGTCAATGATAAAGTGGATTTTTTAAGCATTTTTTGTTAAGAGTACCTTACATCATCCCGAGTAACATTGGCTATATATTTTTTTAAATATTCAATATGGCAGATGTGTTTTCTATCGCCCTATCCTTTTCTATCGCTTTGAAATACATTTTGCAACACAATATCGTGCATTTCTGTCGCCTTATTCTTTTCTATCGCTCACGACCGCAATTTGCTAGTGCGATAGACACTGAGCGGAATATTATTCTCACAAACTTTCACATTTATAACCTCCCTCCCCCAAGAACGTATTCCGCAGCGGATTTTACTAAGTAGGCCGGCCTCGTTTAAGCCTGTCCTTTCAGGACGGATGCGAGGTCGAAGAGATCTGGTTTGAGGCTTAAGAGGCATTTCTCTTGCGTTATCAAAAAAGGGTCTTAATGAAAAAATAAAAAAAAAACACTATCCCTGGCACAAAATTGATAAAATATAAAAAAAAATGGTACCAATCTGAGAAAAAAAATATTATCTCGAGCTACTCCGTGTTTCGGAAGTCACGTTAAGCCGTCGGTCCCGGCTGCATTTGCAGTTGTTAATACCCTCCTATCCGCATTGTGCCAGCGTGGAGGGTCATCCTTAACCATTCATAAGAAAAGCCTGAGCCCCTGCTGTGGGAACGTTAAAGGATAGATGATGATGAGGAGGATATTATCTGTGTTGTTGACTGTGTATGGAGCAGTACCTACTGAATCCTATGTCGTTCCTCCAAAAGTGAGGATTCATCGTAGTTTGGGAGGGGGGAAGTTAGTGGGTATGCCATCCACGTTTTAATTAGCCCTCAGGCGGATCCATATGGATGAAGACGCATTCCCTGTCGCCTAATAAAGCTTTCCCCCTATGACAAAAAAATAGGATTGTATCTGTGTATGAGAAAATAAATAAAAAGTGTCCCCCTCAAAAGGGTACTTCACAGCTGGTTTTACCAAGTAGGCCGGCCTCACTTTAGCCTATCCTTTTCAAGACGGCTGCGGTTTCGGAGATCCCTAGTTAAAGATTTAAATATGGTATCAATGCGAGAGAACAAATAAAAAAGGTCTTATTTAATTCGATGTGTAGCCCGAAGAGGAAAGCGAAAGTTCGAACGGCGTTGAAGCTGATGACGGTGAATCTGAAGCGGCCACTTGGGTGGTATACTTCTGGCAAGGAAGGCGCGCCCCTAACATGGGCTGGCTGACGTTCACCTTCGGGTTGGAGCGCAAGTTCAAGCAATTGTGTAGGCGACTAGACGTGGTGCGGACTCATCAGCAGCAGGAGAGCTTGAAGTTCATGTCGCATTTCCATAGGAGGTTCATCATCAAGGACGGCAAGAGGAACCAGAAACCTGTAAGTTTACTAGTTACCTAGTTAACATTGTGACCATAGTGTGTAATTTTAGTATTGTTTTTTTTAACCTTTCTTTTAATGTAAAAGGTACGATGGAGTTGACATATCCATATGAATATAAACCATAAACAAAATTAAGGAATAATAAAGTTTACTAGTTTTTAGGGTTCCGTACCCAAATGGTAAACCCTATTACTAAGACTTCGCTGTCTGTCTCTCACCAAGCTGAATCTCATGAATCGTGAAAGTTAGACAGTTGAAATTTTCACAGATTATGTATTTCTGTTGCCGCTTCAAACAAATATTATTATATTTAAGGGGGCTCCCGTACAACAAACGTGATTTTTTGCTTGTTTATGATCGATATTGACAGACACCTGCAATATTTACAGAATGTTTTTATATAGTAATTTTAGAAATAAATTTTTCATTTTTTTTTTAATAAACGTGATTTTTTAACTTCTCTCCGGTACGGAACCTTTCGTGCGCCAGTCCGATTCGCACTTGGTCATTGGGTGCGCATAATCGTGGTTTATTAGGACTGTGTTTGATATAAATTAAAATAATTTTCTTTTCCGTTATTGAGTAGTAACAGTAGCAACAAATCGTTTACCTCCCTGCCTCCTGTTTTGGAAGCACTTGCTGTAGTTTCTTTTTAATAATTCAAGATAATACTTTTCACTGGGGGATTAATATAAAGTATTTTTTGCCGGCAAATGGTATTTTATTATTAAATTTTATAAAAGCGTTGCGCCATATCTTTCAAACGGAACTAAGAAGATGACAGCGCCGCGTAGCAGCGTTTCTTCGACATGAAAGGATTCGTTCCATTTCTGAGTTTTAGTTTTGTTAAAGCACTGTTCAGTCCTATCTAACTTACTGCGTTGGCATCGGCATATCGGCAATCGCAGCGTTAGAGAGTTATTGACAGTAATCAATATGGAGCATCAAAATTATATTAAATATATCCATTGTTTATTACTCTTGAATTGGTGATTTTTAATTAATAATTTCAAATTACTTCTCCTCTTTTGTTTATTTCTTTTTTGAGATTAATACGTAGCATTAAAGCCGCTCTTTGTATTCGCTCTCTTTTTCTAGCTTCTCTGTAATATGTCTTGTGTAGCATGCAATAAAAATTACTTATATTATTTTTATTGCTTATATTTTTGCAAAATAAAATTACTATTTTTGAGCTGCATTTTAAGTGAATTCAAAAATCTAACGCGTATGTTGACAACTTTCATGCTGAAGATGGAGTAATAGTGATGATGAATGGGTAACACAACAGAAATTCTATTTGGTCCTTCAGTCAGATAATAGAAAAATATTAGGTACGTTTTTTTTTTTTTGTTTCAATTTAAACAAGAAATGGCTTAAATTAATATGTATGAAAGTCGAGGAGTGGGGGCTTGCTACGTCACAATTATGTAGAAAATGTGCAAAAGCGTGACGTCATACGACATTTCAACTCAATGTATCGTCGTAATTTATTGATTAATTTACCTGACGTACAAATGAACAAAACTTAGTCGCGATCCCTATTTTTTTGCCACAAACATGGTTAACAAGATAACAAAGTTAATTTTTGATAAGTACATCATGTTTCACATAATACTAAGCATACAATTATGCCTTATTGTACTATATTATGTGGTATAGGAAGGGGGTCGTCAGCCCGTGGAATTGTTTGAGCTGCGCAGTAACGGATCAGCGCTGTGCACGCGTCTCGTACAAGTTAAAGCTGACGCCACGCAACTCAACAGCGCCTTCTGGTGAGAATATCGTACTATCTATTATAAATATAATATGGTAACGTGAGTAGCTCGGTGGCGTCTCATTGTTAAGCAACTTTCGCAAGGGTCGGTCACGGGATGGGTGACCAAAAAATTGTTATTTCGAGCTCAATTATAATATACCTCATGTACAGGCAGATAGGCCTTGTCAGTTTGGTCGGAGTCGCATTTATACTGTTCTTCATACCTTTACAAGGGGTCATCCATAAATTACATCACACGAGTTTTTTGCCCCTCCCCCCGTCCTAGTCACAGCTTGTCACATTTGTAAGACTCCCCCCTCCTAGTGTGATATCACATATTTTGGTATTTGGTACAAGGTATTTGTAAAGTAATAGTTTAACGGTCAGTTGCACAAACGTCCGTTAAGGTTTAATGACGCCTTTAAGCTCTAATGAATGTCAAATTTGTATGGGTAATGTCGCTTTAAACTAATGAAAATGCTAATAGACGTTTGTTCAACTGGCTATATAGTTCGTTTTTTAACACTTAGATTATAATAGATTTTGAAATGTGACGTCACGAAATTTAGGACCCTCCCACCCCCTTGTCACACTTCGTCGACCCCTCCCTTCACCCTTAACGTGTGACGTAACTTATGGATGGCCCCCAAACTGACTGCGATGATATAGCTTTTATATTCTACTTGATAAAAAAGACCTCAAAACACGTTTATATTGTAAGAATGTTATTGTTTCTAGGTTCTAGATTTACTTCTTAGGATCTATATATCAGCCAGAGACTACGTCTTGAGCTCGATGAGGCAGTAGTTAGCGCGTTCGGTTTGCGATACGGTTGTAGCAATTTTCGCAATGGCCTTTCATAGGATGGGTGACCAATCCGTATTGTGCCAGCGTGGCCCATTCTCCTTTACCATCCATAAGGAAGGCTTGAGCCCCTGCAGACATTAAAAGGCTGATGATGGTGATGTAATTTATTAGATTGTACACGACGTGTATTAACGCGATAGATTTTGATAGGTAGGTTTTCAATCAGTCCGTGACCACGACCAATAACCTGGTCGAAACCTCGGAAAATATAGGTAGACTAGTGGCCGCGAGCGACTTCATCCGAGTTTTCCATTATTTCTTGGCTCCTAATAGTCGCAATGTGATGTTATATAGCCTAAAGCCTTCCTCGATAAATGGTCTATTCAACACAAAAAGAATTTTTCAATTCGAACCAGTAGTTCCTGAGATTAGCGCGTTCAAACAAACAAACTCTTCAGCTTTATAATATTATAGTATAGATGAAAAACCTATCAAAATCTATGGCGCTAATACCCGTCGTATACAATCTAATAAAATGTAACGCTAAAGTTTTTAAAGTTAATGTAATTTTATCTTGTAGCTATATACTGAACGTACCACTGGAGGGATCGAATGACACATCATCCGCCATTGTTTACGCCTGGATCGGCAGCAAGAGCGACGCGGACTCGGCACGACTCATAGAACAGATCGCCGAGGAGAAGTTTAACAATCCATGGGTTAGCCTACAGGTATGTATATTTTACAGTGGCGAGTTAAGTACTTGTAGACGCTTTAAACGACTGAAATCGGTCACAAGTTGACTGGCCACTGATTAGTTATTATTGAAATGTAAATATGGCTTTAAGTTTTTCAGAACTTTTTTTTTAAAGCTTTTTTATTTTCATTTATTTGTGGCTACAACAGTCATACATAATTATGTTACTTACTACAATACGGGTGTAGACAGACAACGAAAACTATTACATTTTTTTCTGGTAGTTTTACTAATATACTGTTACCGATAATCACACTACCATGCTTGTTTAATTTATAATATCAAATAAATTAATTATGAAAAAACACTTATACACGTTGTGACGTGGCTGCTAAGAGCGCGTGACGTCACAATCCTCTAAAGAAGATTTAATAAATTTGACTTGAAACTATCCATAGAACAATGTTTGTCGTTGTTGTTTTTTGTTAGTTTCAGAGGGCTGTAATATCACATCGGCGCCATGATAGAGGTTAGCGTTTTAGCGGGAAATTTTGAACATGAATTTTATTTTCAGATTTTGAATTAATATATAGAGATAATAAAAAATATATCTACATCTGTATTATTTATATAGCTAAAGACTTAACGTGTCATTGATTTACAAACATAATATTAGATGGAGAGACGTAATAAATAGTTTATATCACAGAACAGATAAAAAGGTAGAACGATTAAGTGGGCGGGGTCGTGCGACCATCCATATGCCCAAAACGGTCATATGAACGTCATGTTACTCAAATTTGCAGTTTATTATTTGCACAATGTCATAGTGGTCTATGGTGCGTCGAAAAATACGAAAATATGCCGAATAGTGCCGTTATTACGAGTCGTTTGCGTAATGAAAATGTAATTCTGAAAAAAGGAGAAATTTCATTTCATCGGTAAGTAAAAAATATTGGTTATATAACAGTATATCAAGATATAATCACATATTTTTTTCCGTGAGATTGTGTCAGTTGTTAACATAGTGCTTGCAGATATCGATAAAATGCTATCGATAGTACCTAACCCTAATATTATGAATGACAATCAATTTACATGCAATTATAACATTAAATCTATTAAGATAAATAGTTAACAGATTTTTTTTTGAGATTTGTATGTTTTTGCTACATAATAGTGTTAATTTGTTACATAATAGTTGCCGCCAATTGTTACATAATAGTGTTAATTTACTATTAAATTTTGTAATTCATTGTGTAATGTGAACAATAAAGAGTTTTGTATTGTATGTTTCAGTTTTCCTAGAAACCCCGACATAAAAGAAAAGTGGATTGACGCGTGATAGAAATGGTCAATGGTTTCCTTCTAAAACTAGATACATTTGTTCAACATATTTTTCTGTAAATGATTTCATTAATATTAAATAATATGATAAATTACTTACAAATTTATAATGAAATATTATGTATTATATCTAATTTTCTGATTATATTGTCAAATTAAATGATATATTGGGATATTATTGAAATATAGTTTCAATGAGACATCTTTGTTATTATTTTCCATTCTTAATATATTGTGCTTCATATAATACCTAGTTAGTAAAAAAAATATGGATAATTAAATATACAAAAAAAATTAGCTAGGTATCAAAAAATAAAACTATGACTATATAATAGAAAAAAGGCTAATTAAAATTATAAAAATCTAGGCCCCAAAGGGCCAAATTATCATTACTGTCACCTGCTCTTGATATGTGACCCCGTTGCAGCCTACTTCTGATTAAAACTGACAAAAATCGCAGTTACATTGCTACTTTAGCAAGATAGGAATTGGTCTAATTGATCGAGCCGTTTCAAGTGAAAGTTGATTACAATCATTGTGAAGTGATTACATACATATGGTATTTATTTTCATTGGATTTTTTTTCGTGAATATGCGAAATGTTAAATTAATAAATTATTTTATTATATTAACCCATATATATATCAATGATTTTCTGATTATCGATATCAAATTGTGAATCACAGGGCACTTCACTATTTCAGTGTTGACAGAAGCGTAAAATTCTTTGCATTATATTTTGAAAAATTGTTTTAACGCAGATACGTCGTGCAATAACATTTTTATGTAATGAAACATGTATTTCAAATGTTTACACATTAACTAATTTAATATCCGCGCACAAAATATAACATTTAAAACTAACAAAAGTAATTGTGCAAATTTATATTATAGCTAGCCATACATTTTGTGTATTACTGTAAAATCACCTGTATTAATAGGCTAGTGTATACTAATTTTGCTGAAACTTTTGTAGCCAATGGAAGCATCGCTCTCTTTGTGAGCTGAATAGGTGAAGTTTTATGTCTGTGTGATATCTGGCACGCGCGGTCCTAGTACTAATGTTAGTACGTTATCATTCTAACCTTTTTATCTGTTCTGTGGTTTATATAAACACAGTACTTGAATGAAAAAAGAAACTTTTGACTAAGGATACAAAAATAAAACAAAAAGTTTTTATTCTAGTTGTATGCTAATATTTGTACGATTAATCATTAGCTTAAGAAAATTATAGTTGGTATTATATTATAATTAATTAAGTGATCTAATTAAAATGTGTATAATATCTAATTTAAATAATTTTATTTATTTTTCTATATTTACGTATGATAAAAAATATTAAGATTTACGTGGATTTCATTGTAACAAGTAAATTTTCATAAAATACTTACTACGTATTCAAACGATAACAGAAGACCACATAATATGTAATATGATTGTACAAATTGGCTACTTGACTCTTGTGTCCACCACAGTGAAACCATTGTGCGATTATCGTTTTCTAAAAAACTCGATATTAAAATCAAAGAAAACATATTTTAATACATTAACAAAAAAAAAGTACAATTAAAAAGTGAATAGTTTATTGAGTTTTGAAAATTAATTTACTTTCATACATGAAAGAAAACCGGAAAGGGTTGTCATGGAGAAATCAATAAAGTACCGTAGCGACATCTAGTTTGATTTCGGGAACTAATTTTTTTTAATACTCCCTCATTAATGAATTTAAAAAAACTACGTTATTATTGTTTACGTACAAGTTATTACCAACATGTTTCATTATTTATTATTATAACTGTCAATGTTGTCTTCATCAAATAAATTATGGTGCAGGTATTGACTGAGGGCAGTGAGCCGGACAATTTCTTCTGGGTGGCATTAGGCGGACGCAAACCTTACGACACTGACGCTGACTATCTTAACTACACGCGCCTCTTCCGCTGCTCCAACGAGAAGGGATACTTTACTGTATCAGAAAAGTGCACAGACTTCTGCCAGGTTGTTATTAGTTAATGTTCCACTGCATATTATATTGTGAAAACTAGAGATGCGCGTAATAGTACCGAAAACTATTCGGTTAACCTATGGCGAACCGGATAGTCGGCCGAATTATTGGATTTACCATTTTATTGTTTCGCCGCGTAAATAGGTTTGAAATTATACGTTGATTTGAAGTTTAATTGCTTTAATCAATACATTATTCATAGGATTTCTTTTTCTTTAGTTACACAAACGTCCATTCAAGTTTTTATAAGTTTAAAGCGGCATTATCCATACATATTTGACATTCATTAGAGTTTAAAGGCGTCATTAATCCTTCGTGCAACTGACCGTTATAATATAACACAAAATTTCATAAGAAGTTTTGTATTTTAGTACTGTGTCGTGTAGCCATGAAAATAAAAATACTCGAAGCGAATATATTTGCCACCAAAACTGAATAATTCAACCAAATACAAATAGTGAAAACGACGCCGAATACGGAATGCCAAACAAATATTCGGTGCGTCTGTAGTAAAACAGTTTTTTAACAGCAACAGATTGTTTTAGTATATGTTTTAAGTGACCCCACTGCTGGGGACGTTAATAGGCATTAACTGCTTTCCCTATAGAATCGAATAGGGAGAACGGGCCATAACCCACGCGGGCCCAGTGCGGATTGGTAGGTGTTAACAACTGCAGATGCAGCCGGAACTAACGGCTCGACGTGCGACATTAGATAATAAATTTTTTATCACCCATCCTTGCTTAACAACTGTTAAACACCGCGCCATCTCCTCGCTACAACAAACTAGTTGAAATTTCAACAGTTCTACAAAATATTAAAAAATTTGCGCAGTGCTGCGACCGCCTAACTAGTCATAGGATACGACATCTTAACGATGTTATGGCGATATTTCGCTTCATTTACAACTTTGACAAGTACGTTGATAACGAACAATGAATGATAAAGAATAATGATAATGATTATGGATTTGCCATTAGTGTTACCAACTTACGGTTACAGAAATCTTTATTCTCAAAAAAAATTACAAAAATTCACTTAATGTGAAATACAAAACGCATAATCAATTATAACACCAAAAAAGTAAAGTATAATTGGATTTTTTAATCATCACATAATCCACCAATGGACTTGTCACAGTAGTAAAATAAAAAAAAATTGGCATAACATCGTTAAAATGTCGTATTCTAAAACTAGAGAGGCGGCAGAGATTGAGACTTATTTCATAGGCTTACACGTTTGGTACTCATATATTTTCATCTCTAGGACGATTTAGCTGACGACGACATAATGATTTTGGATAACGGCGACCAAGTGTTCCTTTGGTTGGGCGCTAAATGCTCAGAGGTCGAGATCAAGCTGGCTTACAAGTCTGCTCAGGTATTTGTTGATTTTCATTATTAAACTAGCTGTTTTCGTCTAAAATATAGCCCATATCACCCATGTATGATAAAGCTTCTTGTAGGTGAAAGAATTTTAATTAACGAATTAGTATTTCAGAAGACTTTCCCCCTCAAACAAAACTTTACCTAAAACATTCTTAATGAAAAATTATTTTTTGAAAAACGCTCAAATGGCCATGACCTTCCGCAATCCGGGCTACTGCTCTAACCACTAAGCTACCCAAGACCTAACATGACTGTCGAATATTTCAAGCACTTGTTACGTTTTCGCTACTACAGAGCGTACTGTTTTGCGGCTCGCTCTATTCGTCTTTTTAAAAAAAAACACATTTACTATTCCTACTTTTATTAGGATAACCAACACACTGATTCCTAGATCCCGAAACGTGGAGAGCTAATGAGGACTGCTCTTCGCGGTTGCTAATGCCGAACTAACTTTAAAATATTAAAATTATTATAATAATGGAATATGCAATCTTGCACTTTACATTTACATAGTTTCTATGGAAAGTACTGAACGTGTTGTCAGCTATTCTCAAGTACAATGTTGAGTTATAACAGTACGTACGCTACAGAGCGTATTTTCATCAATGTGGATCAAATATAATAAAAACTTTACCTTTTTATGATATATAAAAATCATAAAATATAAAAGTCAATTTTTTTACTATATTTAATCAGTTTGCCACTTTTGAACAGTGTATAACTATGTTAGCGAATATCTGGAATTTAAAAAGTTAAAGTACCATTATTTATTCTTACTTAATATTTATATAATTGTTTGATAGAGAGAATGAAATTTCCTTCTGAAGACAAATATATTGTCACCAATCACAGGAAAATTAATTATTAATCACTCATATTTGTAAGAATTTTTAACTCATTTAATTATACTTTCTTTCTATAACAGGTGTACATTCAACACATGAAGTCGTTACAGCCAGATAAGCCTCGTAAACTATTTCTCACCTTAAAGAACAAGGAGTCGCGACGATTCACCAAATGCTTCCACGGCTGGGGGGACCACAAGAGACCTCCAGAATAAAGTCATAGAAATTGTTTGTTTTGTTTGTTAATTGTAAGGAAATTTAATATAACCGTTTTATTGTTTTTTATGTCCCATAAATATTTCAGTATTATGATGAATAATAAAATTTGCAATAAGTTTTGAATCAAGTGGACCTACAAGAATTGTATCTTTCGAGAATATATACATCACTAGAAATAATTTTAAAGCAGAAGTTCTGGTAAGTTAACTATTAATCACAATATTGTCTATTTATTTTGGGCTTGATCTGTGAATGCAATAGAGAAAATCTTAAAGAATAGGTATTGTATAATGTGATTCCACACTAAATATAGTTTTGTAAATCTTTTGTTTCTTTATAAAAGAGTTTTGGTAGAATTTTCACTTGTAACACTCTTTCATAATCAATGTGTTTTCTTCTCAATGTAATATTCTATTAAAATTGAAACTACTTTTGTACTCCATAAAATATTGCAAAATTTCCACAACTAGCTAGCTTTTATATTCCAGGACACTAAAGATATTCATCCAGATTAGATTATTACATACATATGTTATAAGCAGTGGGTTTGCCATATTTTTACTAATGCATTATACACAGTTATGATTATTTTGCGAAATATATATTACGAATTTGGCTCCAATTACAACTACAGGTTTTGTTTGTTACTAGATCACAAAATAATAAATATATCTGACACCATTGATTTGTGAAGATATTAACAATATTGGACTTCAGGTAGATAGTAAATGGCAAAATACATGTAGTTGAGACTATTTATATGCAATTATTATTTAAAAATTAGCACAGAGTTGACACCTTGTGTTTATGTAGCTATTTATACAAGTTTATGTCATATGATGATTATATATTGGTGAATAACAAACCACTATGTGCAGGCTACATGTACCTACTGCCACACTTGCATACCTATCAAATCAAAAACTTGACTAAGTATCTCTTATTCTAAACCATAGATTCCATATCAGTTTTACATCAAATTACACTTATTGAAAAATTCTGTAATCTAATTATTATACTTTTTCACAATGCTATAATGCTAATAATTATTAATAGGACTCTGAGATGGGACTTGAATTCATGACACTTTGCAATCCAGTAACGAAGGGTCATGGGTTCAAGTCCCATCTCATAGTGCCAGAGATGGAGTAGATTTTTTAAGCATTTTTTAATTAAAAAATATTCTGTAATCTCTATAAATTCTGGTTCTATAAATTGTACTTTCATTTATTTCATGAAAAAGTTTCTGCTGTTAATGTTATTTGCAATGTTGAGTGAAATAAATAAACAGTATTGTGTATGTTATTTAACTATGATTATGATTTATGTCAATGTCTCAATTTGTTTATTGATGTGAATTCTTATGGGCTTCCAGAAAAGACCTAAAAGAATAGTTGTAAAATGAAAGACTGAATCATGCCATTTAAATTGTCTTTATTCAACACTTTCACTTAATAATCACTATGTAAAGCATAATTTTAGAGATTATCATTTTTATTTAATTTATTGCCACATGTAAGAATGTTTGACTAGATTAGCAGAGATATTACTCCAATATAAAGTTCAATGCATTTTATTGCATTTATTCAAAGTAACAATGAAAATTTCAGTTGTATTATATACCAACGGTGAAATAAATGATTCACATAATTTCATCTACCATGTAAATATAAGGTACCTTATTGTTTTATAGATGGTGTCAATAATATATTAAATTGTTTAAGCTGTAACATCATAAAAAGAATTGCTATAATTTTAATGTATTTTAATGCTAAGCACAAAGTAATACATTATTAACAATTTTATAATAAAGTTTATATAACATATCTAGTTTTTTTTTTATTATTATTTTACAGCATAAAACCTGAAACAATCACATATATTTCATAAAAAAAAAATAATGTTATTAAATCCAGTATCCCCTTCTAGATCTTTTCTAATTTCATTACTTTTACTTTCAAATCACTGTTAGAATATTTCTTACAATATCACTATAAAACTTGACCAACTAGATGATGTTACGATAAAAATAAATGTAAATGAAGAGAAAAGGCGAATTCCAAATAAAAGCTGTTATTATAAACTTGTTTTGAAGTATTTGGAAATTTGCCAGTTATGTCACCCAAGAGTCCAGATGAAATGAGTATATTCATTCAAAAGAGCTAAAATAGTAAAGACGAAACACTAGCGTTATTTAAAGTTTTTAGATTGTTAGTAACTTACGTAAATACACTGTTTTAATCGTCGTCGTCGTCATCATCAGAGGGAACAAAAAGTTCATTTTCTTCCAAGAAATTGGCAATATTTTTGCTGATCGCGGCTCCGATAAGAAGTCCAGGGACTACTGCACAAATAACACTAAGAAGACCGAACGGTTGTTTCTCAGGTTCTGGTAAAATCGCACCTGTAGGAGTGGTGGTTGCGTTTCTTCTTGGGATTAGGGAAGCAACTTTGTTTCTAGAAATCATCTTAGTTTGTGCAAAGACACGAGTCAATCTATATACTATCATATTGCCACAGTAATCGGAGTATGTTATATAGGTTTGAAAATATTAGTTTAATTTTGCAAGAAATATAAATATTTTATTTTACGTATAAAGACCAGCCGCAAAAAAGGAATATTTAATCAGGTGTCAAATGATGTCATAAATCTGTCAAATGTAGAATTTTTATTGAAGGAAGGCAAAGGCATACTCTAGATTATTTAGACCTAAATCCTAAGCCTTAACGGAAATTCTTTCTGGAAGAGGTATAAATGAAATGTATTATTTGGCAATTACGTAATGCAAAACTAGAAGGGTATCCGCCAAAACGACCCCAGACTCGGCGGTATAGAAATGTATCTCAGATATTAGTGTCAAACTATTAAAATATTGTAAAGTATCGCCATTTCCAAATTCGGTGGCTACCAAATACAATCTGAGATTTTTAATATCTTATTTTATGACAAAGGATTTAGCAGATCTCCTAATTAAAAATAAATTGGCCTCTGCTTAATATGATGCCCATGGTCCAATCCTAAAAAGCAATAAAAATTGATAATTTTATTAAATACAAAAGAAAATAATGTCATATGTGGCTGTAAGAATTAAACCATTTTGCTATAAAATTATTAATCTAATTTATGACTTTAGTTTCCGACTCGTAAGCAAAAATGCGAACGGTATAGTTTTTTTCTGTAGAATACCTTCATCCTGAATCACTTCATCAATAGAAACTGCAAAGAAGAATGAAAATAAAGAAAAACTAAAATTTTATAAATCCCTTTGCCTTACATATATGAATTATTTTTATTTTATTTTTTGACAATGACATTATTTCACAAATGAGACGTCAAATGTTGATTTTTATCAACGTTACGAAAATACAAATAATTTAATATAAATTGTACTTAATAAGATAAAAATGAATATCACCCTAACTAGTTTAGAAGCGCTAATACGTAAGTAATCTGGCGTAAATAATATTTTAGAATTAGGTTGATTTCGTTTTTCATACTTCGACTATTAGACATGTTTTTATCTAGTAATTTTATATACAGTAAAGGCAACACACGAGTCGTTGCCATGTCCGGACGCTGCTGCATTAGAAGCATTTTGCGCTGTTATGAAAGATGCTGCAGATGGCCCACAATATGCGTCACAAGCCCTGGCCGCAAGAATCCATGCTCCTAATGCTCGGGAAGCCTTGCTGGCACTCACAATGCTAGACCGCTGCATGCGCAAATGCGACGCCAATTTTCACGCAGAAGTGGGCAAGTTTCGGTTTCTCAATGAAATGATAAAACTTGTATCTCCTAAATATTTTGCTGACAGGACAGCACCTGAAGTTCGGACTAGGGTAGGTGTCGTGGCTCATTTTATATTTTCAATGATGTAGTTTATTGCCCTTATAACTTATTTTTAACTTTATCACTAGTTGATTGAGGAAAAGTTTGATTTTATCCTAGCAAACAAATTTCAATTTTTACTTTATAACAAATTTTACTTTGCATGTTTAATGATTTGATAATTTACTAGATTGTTTTTTTTTAGGTATGCCAGTTGCTGCATGCTTGGTCCATTGAATATCCCAAAGAAACAAAATTTAAAGTTGCCTATGATATGTTAAAAAACCAAGGTGTGATAAAGGAAACTCCCCCGCCTCTTCCTCCAGAAGATTCCCCTCCAAAGTGTCAAGTGAGAGCTAAAAATGCTATATTTGAAGATGAGGAAAAATCAAAACTGTTACAAAAGTTGTTGCAAAGTAAAAAACCAGAAGATTTACAGCATGCCAATAGACTTATAAAGACTATGGTTCGAGAGGTGAGTATTTTAATTTACCAAATCCCATTCAATTCTTTATTGCACTTATGTGGTAATACAGATATTCTACCTATATACTGCACCATAATATGAATCCTCTCAGGGCACAGGAACAATTTAATTTTAAGAAACATCTGTGTTTTTTTTTGTTTTTTATTCATTACTCCCTGAGCATGTGCAATTAAAATAATGAATAACAATGCATGTATCTTCCCAGAGATAGACAAATTAACTTAGTACAAGTGGAAAATAATTTATTAATTTTAATTGCAACCTATTAAATTACTCAACATCTTTAACACAGACAATCGATATTGTTTAATATTCAATAAAATGGAAAATTTTAGTTTAACATAATATGAAAAAATCGGGTGTTTGATTTTTCCAAATTATTATTACATGTGTTTTTAAAATAGGTTAAAAATTGCAGGAAGAGCGTCGCTCTGAGGCAAACAGTCGTCGTGCACAAGAAGTTGGCGCTGCATTGGACAGTGCAGGACTGCTACGCGATATGCTGGCGCATGCACAAGACGCCTCCACTGATGAGGAACAGCTTATACATGAGTTGCATGCTAGCTGCGCGAGACTCAGACCAGTGTTGCAACAACTCGCTTCTACAGCACAAGCCGACAATCTTAGTGGGTCATCATCATTACATTCTAATTCTAGTGGCACAAACATTCTCTATTGGATAAAAGGGATCTAATCTCTTAGAAGGGATTTTATAGAAAAGGAGGGCTGTATTCAAATTCAAATTCATTTATTCGGCATATGCACATAGGACCCTAAAATATAATAATTAATCACATAAATACATATTACAATAAACATTAGATTAAACATACAATTACAAACAATAGGATATTTAACATTATTCAACATTAAAATAATAAAATAAATAATATTGTGTCCCACGACTGCACCAAATAGGGTCTGTTTATTTTCCAGAAACAGACCACCACCACAGTCTGTCCAGCCCTGCAATTCTGTAAAAATCCAAATCCGAATTCACTTTAAAAAGTTGCATCTGTTCAATCTTGAATTAGTGATAACGTTTCATGGCACAAGTGATGTGAGTTTTGAAATGACAAAGGAATAAAATATTTGAGACACACATCACTAAAGAACATGAATTTTACGGAACCGCTCTGCTGACAAATAACTTAATGAGCATTATACTAATGTTTAATTTATTTCTTCGCATATTAAACAGTTGCAATTGTCATTTCATTCATTATTCAATTCAAGAACGTATTACGCGCGGTCTTGCAAACGTTGCCTTACAACTTCATAATAGCAGATAGAAAGTGCTTATTACAGTGTCATGTAGTTCATATTGCTTTCAATAATCATATATAACATACAAATGTTTAGTAAGAAACTGTTTTACTGCCTCGGAATACACAATGTGTACTGATTTTTGTGTAATTACAGGTGATATACTTAATGCAAGTGATGCATTGGATGAAGTATGTGTACAGTATTATGCTTTTGTACAAGAAAGGCTAACAAAGACAAATGCAAAAGCAGTCCCTACAGTGAATAACAATGATAGCCTCCTGGATTTTGCGGGAGCTAATTTTAGAAATGATGGAGATAACTCAAAGAGTGATGATAAAAAGAATGTTATAGATGATCTGGGCGATATATTCTCAAGTGGAAGTAGTGGCAGTAATATTACAGAACCACTGAAGCCAGTAAATCTCATGAAAAGTGGTAAAATATGTTTGTGTATTTATATCATCATCAGCATCCATATAATGTCCCCCATGTGTAAATTACTGGGGCTTAGACCAACCACTCGGGTTCATTGCGGATTGGTGGATGTTCACAACAGCAGTTGCTTAACATCCGTATCGCAGACCGAGCGCAATAACCGTTGCGCCTTCGAACTCTTAAATTTTACTTACATATATAAATGAAATATAATGTAATTCTAAATTCTATTTTATTTTCATTTTATATTTCTGTTTTATTCTTATAGCTGTTTTCCCGCGTAAATTTTGCATTGGAAGCGTTGAGTTTCTTGCCGGCTCTACTCAGTCTCTACAAGTCTCCCGGCTCTACAAGGTCTCCCGCCGTAGTTTTGCGAACCAATGGCGTAGTTTTCGACTTTGATTTCGACTTTCGAATGGCGTAGTTTAAAAACTACATCACCATTCATGATGCTTAGATGAAAGAATTTTTTAAATCGGTCCAGTAGTTTTAGAGCCTATAAGATGCATTAGTATAGATAGAAAATTTCTTATATTTTTTACAGTAATATTTTAATTTCAGATGATGTCGATCTTCTTGGAGAGAAAAAGGTTAAGACTGAAGGCTGGAATGAATTAGATACATTAGGTGAACAATTACTAAAACAATCTCTACCTGAAAACGCGAAACATATTGATGGTTTTAACAAGTTAGTAAAACAAAACTCGTTTTCTATTCACGTTTTTGCTTATAATATTACTAATATAAACGTTTATATATTTTACAGTAAACCTACAAAGAAAATACCCATCAGTGCATTACAAAAACAGTCACCCAATCATAAATCGCAAATACCTAACAACGGAGCAGTATTTGACTTAGATTTCTTCATTAAAAAACCTGAAGAAAAAGTATTAACTCCACAGGCGCAATCACCCAAATCAGGGACACCTACAGATGATCTAATGGTAGACATTACCGCTGATATGCCCAACACATCCACGATAAACACCACTAATAATAATATTAACAATCCATTGGAAGATATGTTAGATTTAGGATTACCTTTAGACGATAATAATACCAAATGTGATAAAATGGAAAACTCTATAGAAAATAAGGAGTCGACAGCCGTTGAAATTGAAAGGAAAGATAATGTTAAGAACAAAATTAGTGATGTGAAACCTTTGAATGATATAAATGTGACGTTGAATAGTGTGCACCCTAGCAAAGTACCACCGTTAACTGTCTTTGAGGAGGAAAATGGCCTAACGATTGTTTTGCACTTTTGTAAGGACAGGCCACGACCTGATGTCAGTGTCATAGTGATATCGACTACGAACAAAAACCTTATGCCAATAGATGATTATAAATTTCAAGGAGTTGTTCCCAAGGTAATATTTATTACTTGTTAAGATTTCATAGACTAAATTTTTTTTTTTTAAACTGCGTCGTTTTGGGAGACTATTAAACTTTTCATAAAATAATCTGTGCCATTGTTATAATGCCAGAAACATGAAATTATAATAAGACTGTTTATTAGGGCTGTAAAATTCGTCTTCTGACCCCGTCCGGTACGGGGCTGCCGGCGTACAATCCATTCCTGCCGCCGCCTGCGCTCACACAGGTAACATAAATTAAATTAATAATAAATTTATATAGAAACTATTTGTAATCAGTGTATAAGTTTTAATATTATGTCACTTATTTTCTCTCTCTTTTAAACCATATATACACTATCATTACAGTAGTATTCAAAGCTTTTACTGAATTATTTGAAATTTTATCAATTCAGAAACAATTAAAGTTCTAAATAAAGTAAGTATTTGGAAAATATCCTTAATGAAAAACGCTTAAAAATACATAGAATTCAATTAAATGCTTGAATTAATGAAAATACTTTCTGTTGTAGCGAAAAAGTAACAAGTGCTTTAAAAATTCCTCAGTCCTGTTAGGTCCTGGATAGGTCAGTGGTTAGAGCAGTCGCTGTTTGGGTTTGAATCCCATCTCAGAGTGCCAGGGACAAAGTACATTTTTGAGGATTTTTTATTAATGCAAAATGTAACTTTAATTTCCGGCGTGCAAACTATCTTTAGTACTAGGCTTAAACTATTATCCGACCAAATTAAATCAACACATCCCGATGTTATCTCTCCTGCCATTGTCAACTTAGGTGGCCAATGCTTTAAGTAGTAACTGTAATCTTCGTTTTTATAATAAGACAGAGAATATTATTGATATGACAACATACATATATATTTTCAATTTTTATAAGGTGATGTTGATCGGGCGACCAGCTGGTGAAGAGATGGGGCTTCGGTTCGTGGTGACGTACGCGTGTGATAACGACACGTGCTCGGAGATGGGGGAAGTGCCGCGCCTACCGCTAGATGACGTTTAATGTCTATATAAATATTAAGAGGGGGGGGGGGAGTGAACGCGTCGTTTGTTTAAAGGAATTCTAATGGATGCAGTTGTACTAGCAGTTTGATAATTATTTGAGTCCAGCAGAGCAATTCCGTAAGAATTGGAATCTGAATTCACTTCGGAAGCAAATAACCTAAAATTGCTATTAAGTGTATTAACGTTTCGTGGCATATAAGTGAACACAAATCGATGGAGACAAGAATATTTATTATTTTGTAATTAAGAACAAGCATTATGGCATAAAGTGTTGTGGTTGAAGCTCTATTGACTTGGTAGAATTGTTCTAACCATAGGATAAGACTTCTTAGCGATGTTATGTCGAATGTTAAAGAATGATAATTATTGATTTCACAGCGGTTTTACGAAACCTAGTTTATTATTCGCCAAAAGGTATGTCAAAGTAATAAAATGATACGGAAATATTGCCATAACATCGTTGACATGCCGTATCTTATTCTAGAGATAGGCGGCCGCAAACCAGACTGTTGACAAGTGCTTGTGAAAAAAATCCAATCGGTTCGTACATTGAAGATCTCCAAATATCTTTTACTAAAAGAACCGACAAGAAACTCGGAAAGGCTGATTATCCGTTTTGTTGCTCAAGGGCTTAAGCACCCGTGAGTTTGAAAATTGGATGCGGTACATCCATGACCATTAATAACAGTGATATTTTTATTTAAACTTAATTAATACCGCATTTAAATAATGTATGTCTACTTAAATAAACCGAAAGAAATGTTGCTTTAAAATATATGTTTATGTTTACGGACACGTGAACACTAACACACTCGTATCTATAGTTGAAATAAGTAATTACTTGAGGAAATGGCATAACTTTAGCAAATATTTTTAACTTGGCAGTTTGTTCCTCTTTCGTCACGGAGAATCTATTTTAAAATCTACGAAGATAGCGCTGCCTATGTAGTAGTAGCATACAATACATAGAAGTATCTGGTTTCAATCAAACATATATTTAATACAATTTTGTTGGAGTAATGGAAGTGTAAATGCAAAAAAAATTCATAATTTTTAAATGTATTATTTTCTTCAATTCATTTTTGGTACGTTAGCTTTCCCAGCAAGAGACGCGTTCAGTAATAACATTATAATTGTAAGACGCTTAAAATGCTACTTAATTATTATATTACAGTGAGAATTGTATGTATAATTATATTCTAGTCGACATAAATTGGACAGAAATGTATGCATTTATTACATTCCAAAATATTGACTGCTGTATATATAATGACAAATTAATTTTATTACTTATTTAAATATTAATGATCTGATGTTGAGTATTAAATCTGAGATTTCGACAAACAAGAGTGAAAATATAATAGTTATTTTAGATGTTGTGTTACAGTGAAGGCTACAATGGACACATGCAATATTGTTTTTGTCTTTGTGTAAAATTTTAATTTTAATAATTATTATTATACTAATTATTATCAAAAGAATAAAAATATTATAAACTTAATGAAACGTAGTTTTCTTTCAATTTAATTAAAACCTATATAAGGTTTTTGATAAATGAAACAATGGAATTCGTTTGTAACTAATTTAATAGTTGTATTTAATAATAAATTTTATATAGTACCTAAATGCATTTCAATTGCGTACATTAATTAGATCTTAAAAGTTAAGTAAGGCTTACTTAAATAACTTTAACTATAACAACACAAAAGTGTCACTTAAGTAATGTTTAATTACACCAAAATTATTGACATTATGAGATAAAACTATCAATTTCGTAACAAAAATATCCTGTGTAGGGTGCCATTCTATAGAGCAGTTGCTTTAATTTCAAATCTAATTTCTTTACAAAAATAATCCTGATTAATGACCATATTTGATAACTTTCATCCATGATCGAGGATTACAAAACTCAATAACTCTTTTATAATTAATTAAAATATCATTATATCAAAAAACGTGTCCCTAATCTGTCATGACTTGTAGGTACATACATATTTGCGTTTGTGTGTGTGCGTGTGTGCATTTAAATATACCATATATACCTACGTATCATATATGTGTATTATTAGAAAGTAATCAAATATCAATACTGCCTTTCAAATTCTGAACATTCTCACTGTTACGATAACAGAGGATTATTCATTCCATTTTGGCATTTATCTCGTTATGGCGTCAATAAAATCTTCAATCTAGAACTTTCCTCACGGTATAATTAATAAACGGCTAGACTGCATTATATTCCGCTTCACTTGAATGTCACCCATATTTCAGTTAAAAGTAGGTATAACATTGACGTCTACAAAGACACAAAATCAAAGAATAAATTACGAACAATCACTGGTATTGTATCTCATAATTAATATTATATATAATAATTATTACTACACATTCCGTGATAAAAGTCAATATTATAGTATATAATCAGTCACTCATTAATATTGCTCAATAATTCTTTAATATAAATAATTTGCAACTTTCAATATGTGAGAATTACACCAATTTTTTTTCAATTGAGACCATTTCGGGGCCAAATCAATGAATATCGCCAATTATAATAATATATTAGTTGCGAATGGGCAAATATTATTTGAGCTTAACAATAATTTTTATTATTCGGACAACTACATTTTTTTACCTTACGTATCATTTTAATTGCCACTACGGATGCTTCTTTTTTTATTATTCTATATAAAATATAATAACCTCTACATAATCACACATCAAACAGCTTATTTATAAGCTTAAAATAGGTCGGTAGGTACGCACAAATGATGAGACAATCGGTGTACTTAACGTGAATTACAAAATTGACAAATACGAATGTTTAAATTAAATAATTTTGTATATATGGCAAAGGCTAATTAACAGTAACAATACGATTATGGATACGACAAATAAATACATATATATTATACATTTTGTTGTTGTAATATAAGTCCAAAAGCATTTTATAAATAACGAAAAGTCCACCGAATACCATCACTGTCATTATTTTACAAAAAAATCTATCCTTAATTCGACTTACTTTCTAAATGAGGTATATATTACTCCGTTTATTCAATAGCAGTTTAGACCAGTCAAATTCGTATCAAATTACCCAAAATGTCAAATTCGTATCAACTTACCCTGAATGTCAAATTCCTACAATTAACATTAACACTTTACAGATGGAAATAAAGAATAAAGTTTTATAAAAATTGTAAGAGTAATAACGCGTAAGTAACACTAGCGATTAAGAGCTTACTTTAAGTGAAGTACTATTTCATTTGAAATAGCTCTCGATCTCAAGTATTAGTTGCGAGGTATTGTACCATACCCAACGATATGCCATTTTTGAGTATTTTTAATTTAAGACACGAATAATTGTGTGCATGTAGTAATATGACCGGCCGTTCTATTTGTATGTAAGACTTTAAGATGGTAGACTTTAAGTCGATAATCGGTTGAAATTTGACATTTTATGATAATGTGATGTGGTTGTACAATGTACAATGATAATATATCTAAACTGCTTGATCTTTGAATGCGAGTGCTGTAATAGATTTCTGGTGGCCACAATATTCCCGTTCCAGTGTACCTTTCTCGACATCCCAGAGACGCGCGTAGCCATCGGATGAACCTGACCGAGAACAAGTTTTTGATTATAATTTATTTATATAACAATTGTATTATTTTACTGTTGGCACACTACCATCTCCTCTGACTGTATATTTGACATAAGGGTGATCTGAGATCACTTTAAGAGTTAAGACCGCTTTTATCAAGAAATCTAATGGTATCTTACTTAATTTTTTATGTATGTGAGCAATAAAGAGTCATATCTATTTTTTTTTGTTTCATAATTAGATTACACAGAGTTATTTTCTGTATTTTAATGAAATGAAAAGGACTTTTAATACATAAACCGTCTTATTATATAACGGGCACTAAAGTCACTGTGGTTTAAACCATTCTCCGCCAAAAGAATAATGGTTCAATCCTGGTACTAAAGTTGGTCTTTGTTTTTAATAAAATGTTGAGTGCTATCTTTTTTTGTGTTAGTGGTATACGAAGTCTAATTTATAGTCTCATATATTTTATATTTCAGTGGTCTTTTAGAAGTGATGATAATATTATCAAAGTTGAGTAAACGAACACCAAGTAAAATTGTCATGTCTTTAGGTTAATATATATAATATATATTTAAAGATTTTTATTTTCACATCCGTTGCCGTCTATGCTTGTGGAAGGCTCTAGGAGTAGAATTTTTTTTTCGAGTTTTAATTTACAATCCGTAAATTAAAACTCGAAAAAGTGGGTTTAGTGGGTTCTGAAGTGTGTTCTTCAGTAAGAACATCAACATCTTACATCAGTAAGAGATTTAAATATTCCGATGAAATAATTATAAATGATGGTATACCGGTGAAGAGGTAGCGCGAATCAATGCTGAACGCGGCATCCCACACCCACCGCTGCGTGTCGTGACGCAACTCGCGCATCAACGTCCAGTCGCTAGTCCGCCACACTTTGGCCGAACAATCGCCGGACGTTGTCACCAACATACTGGACACATGACGATACAATACAAATTAAAATATTATATTTGATCGATTTCTGGGGCCTTCCATAAATTACGTCACACAAAATTCAGGATTACAATAATATTTGTTTTTTTTTTATTTTTATACTTATTTAATTTGAGCAATATTATAAATATAATAAGAATAAAAGTGTGATTATCGGTAATAATACATCAAACACTACCAGAAATAAATAATAATATGTATTTATATTCGTTAACGATACCCGTATAAAAAGAAGAATAACCGGCCATTAGTGATACGTACTTCGAGTCGAGGCTGAACTTGCATCGGAGGCCGTATTTGTCGTGGGCGGCGAGGTGGCGCCGGGGCACGGGCCGCGGCGGCTGCCCGTCCAGCGTCCACACGTAGCAGTTGCCTTTGTTGTTCACGGCGGCCATCAACTTACCCAACGGGTCGATGGCGATGTCCTGGATAGACGCCTCAGCTTCTGGTATCTGACGTTAACAAAACGCATTTGTAAAGCCCGTGCCAAACATGTGCACCAAACCAGGGTCCGTAATTGTGAAGTTTTTTGACAATTATCATGTTAATTTTTTTAAATACAGAAATGCATTCATAAATTATCTGCGAATACACATTGAACAAAAACAGAAATTAAAATATTTATTATAAAAAAGGGCGTTTTAATATTTGTTTTTTAGTCCTAAAAACAAAATCTTTAACAAACTATCAAATGTATAGTTAAGAGGATTCCCTTTTAATAACAAGTTAAGATTTGTTTTTAAGAAGTACAAATAGAATTAGTGTAGTATTATATAATTATCAAGATAATTATCGAAATAATTTTTCCGAACCCTGTTCCTGTCCCTGTTCCACGCCAAGTACATGCCTGACATTTTTTGTGTTGACTTACGTTCTTATTGAATTTCTCAAGCTTCTTTAAATAGAACTATCATACAAATGCTTGTACCCCTTGGAAACGCATGGCTTTGAATAAGATCAGTTTCTCGGTGCCTTTCTGTCATCCAATATGACCACAAATAATTTTAAAGCAAATGTGGCACACCCAAAAATTCATTTAAATTGTTTTCTAAAAATTAGCTAACTTTGTAGATATATCTGGAGCCCGTATTATGCAACCATTAGACGATCAATCTGGACCAGTCCTTTTTTTATGGGGTCACATCACAAACACGTTTCAGATGTTGTTGCGGTCTTCAAAGGAAAATTATTTAATTTTTAATAAAAAACATAACTACCTAGATAAAAAATTATGACATTACATTACAAATAAAATAAAAATTACCAATTGATCGTTCTTGTCAGTCCTGAGGTCCCACATGTGGATGATGCCACTCTGGTCTCCAACCATGATCTGAGTCTGGTCAGGATGCAGAATCACTGCATTAACTGGTGCCGGCACTTGAAATATCCTCTGGCATTGCAATTGCCTACCAGACCTATAAATTATATTACAAATGTATTATACAGAAATAGACCCTAAAGTCAAGTACATATAAGGGGCAACATACAGACAACAAATAAGAACAATTGGGTTTTATTCCTGTTACCAGTTGTTAGGATAATAATCATCATATATTTACTAATATTATAAAGAAGAAGGAATTGATTTTTTGTTAGTATGTATGATTGTGTTTTTTGCATCAAATAGTCTCCGAAATTCTTTCACCAGGAAGCTACATCCTATGAAGTTGACATAGGCTATAATTTACATCTGCAAGGTGATGAGAGAACAGCTAGTCCAATATAAATAAAATACATGTCAATACCAAAATCATAAAAGCAAAAGTAAAGGTAGAAACACACTCACATGTTTGTGTTATATTTATAAAATATAAAATTGAAATAACTTTTTGAACGCAACACAAAATAACAACATTTATTATTTGGATAATCATACATTTTGGAACAAGTAGTCTAGTATTCAATCATAACTTTAGATGACATACTTTTTCCAAAATAATCATGTTATACTGAATAAAAGTATTTTTATACTAACATTATAAAGAAGAAAAGATTTGATTGTTTGTTTGCAAATAAACAGGCTCCCAAACTACTGGACCAATTTTAGAAATTCGTTTAACTATGGGAAGCTTCATCATACATAATTGACATAGGTTATCTATGTTTAGCAACATATATTTATATGGGCTAAGCGGCTGACACCAGCTATATTATATAATTTAATACTACCTTGGGTCCCATATTCGGGCTGTACAGTCCTCACCACCTGTGTACATCCATTTTCCGTCTTGCTACAGGAACAACAAGAATAGAAAGAAAAGGATATTGATATAACTTCATAATTTATAAGTGATGATTATCTTAGTGGATATCTAACAATTTATTGTATGTATGTAGTTGCATTTTTATTTGATATTTCGTTACTCTGACTAATATGGTACATATAGATTTTCCATCTAAAAATAATTTGGGTGTGTCTAATGTAACTGAATATGTTCCCATTTTATCTTAATTGTGGGTAGTTACATGCATTAGTAAAAATATTTGCAGGAAGTAAAATGAAATAAATAACAAATATTCAACATATTGCAATCAGACAACTTTCATAAGTGATTAAATAGTCATAAAGATACATATACCCACAAAAAATATTGTTTAAATAATAAACTTTCCTATGTATCAAAAACTATGTTTTATTATTAAAAAACTCTTAATTACTGATTTGAAATGAGGTGAAATTTAAGTCTTTGAACATTTTAATTGTACATCTGATAACCGTTTCAAGCCCTATTAAACATTTCTGAAACGAATGCTTTGTTTAAATAAATATTCAATTACAAAATGTTAAACCAATATATAATAATATAAAGAACCAAAAACAGGTTTTTTTTTAACTTTAAAAATAAGAAGTTTTACCTATTTATAAGAACACAAACTTATTTAGTCATAGTTGCATATATTTGATGATAATAAAATTGTAGTCAGTCAGATTGCACACAGTGTTGTCATTAAATTGACTCACATGAAAACCAACTCTGGAAACATTCTTGGTAACGCCCTCAAAGTTCATCACTGGATCAGGGTTAGCACTTTGCAAGTCATACATGCGGATATGTTGAAATCCACATGCTGCAACCATCTGCCCACTCGGGGTTATTTCTAAAGCATTGACTTGCTGTAATAAAGCAAAATTATATATTTTATAAAGTATTATTATCGGTAAGAATGCACTTATTAAAATGAGGAAAAGCAGACTTTTATGAAGAAATTATTTTAATTTGGATTAAAATAATTGCTATAGTTTACCGAATCAGGGTGTTGCATAGTTCGAAGGCATACGCCACTGTGTGCTTGCCACAGTTTGATAGTGTGATCATATCCTCCAGTTACAAGGGCAACTTGAGATCCTCCACCACTGCTGCTACCTTCCCCAGACATTGTTAACCGCAAAAGTCGCAACTTTATTTATAATTAAACACCAAATATTCAAACCTCTACAACGGCAGAAATGAAGTCCATATGCTTTAGAAACTAGGTATATAAAATTCGAAATTTATTATTCTATAAAACATGGAAAAAAACGGGTATTAATGAAAAAACTTCTTCGACGAAAAACATTATTTTTTATGCAAAAGGCACTGAGAAAATATAAAAAAAATCAAGCACTAAAGAAGCACCTCCACTAGATGGCGACTCTAACAAAAGTTGATTTATGCAGAAAAAGAATAGAAAAGTCATTTCCGTTCCTTTAGCAAACATGAAAAACTGAAATTTGCAAAGTTCGAAACTCAAATATCAATACAATTACGAAAAATTACAAATAGATTATGAGTTGTTTATTGAGTTTTGCAACCTCATTTACTTTTAAACATGAAAGGAATCCGGAAAGGTTGTCATGGAGAAATCAAGAACGTACCGTGGCGACATCTAGTTAGATTTCGGGAACTGTTTTTTTTTTTAATACTTTTTCATTGAACTAGGGTTCTTCTTCTTCGTTTTAATTAATGGCGTTGCCCTTATGGATTTTGCCAGAATCCAGTGTTTTTCTCAGAGTGATAGATGTAAGTTTTACACTAACGCGTTCACTATTGAGTGTATGGAGATTTGTAGTTCTTGGTAGTTACCGCTAGGGGCGCTGTACCGGATTCCATACTAAAATCTTAACACGCTCACGATCGACAGTTAATGTAAACATCAAAAAACTTACACTCGCGCTCTGTTTGTTTTATATTTTAGTATAGGGTTTTAACTAGGGTTCGTACCAAGTAGGTATCGATACTTTCAAAAGCGATACTTGATACTAAGTACTGATAATATAGCACAGTAAATACTAGTGTGGTGACTGATACATAGCGACATCTAACTCATCGCACTAACATCGCCACAACAATCGATAGCGAGAAGACTAGCATCGTCACAGCCATCGCTAGCAAGACGAACTGCAAGAAGTTTCAACACCAAATAACGAGATGGCGCTGTACCAATACAAACAGCATAAATTAATAACTACAAGACATTTAGAACAAAGAAACCTACATCACACAGAATAAGTTTAATTACCAATTAACATAAATAGAACGTCCAACCTACATCGGTTGGACCGCGGTCCCCGGGCTAACAACACCTAGCTCGGAGGGAGACAATTATCCTTTAGTCTCCCTGGCCAGTTGTCTCCATCAACAAGTAGGAACCAACCTTCAACCTTTAGGTTCCTAAACTAGCAATATATTTTTGAGAAAAAACCATCATAGAAATACATAAAAATTTGAATGAAATATGAACAAAAACAATAAAAATATACAGTGTTTTATTAGTTGTTACAGTAGTCAGCCAAATTCAGTTTTACCTTTAAATTACGGCGACTACACCCACCATGGCAGTAAAAAATATGTATCTGCCAAAACTGTTTAATTCGTTCCTCAGACGTCTCCTCATTGTTTCCAAAGATAATTTAAGCAAATTGTCTATACATGAACTGTAAAAAAACGAAAGTTAAGTTTTGTCAGTAAGTACTCGATATTGAGTAGTATCGATACTTTGGGAGCGATACTTTTCTGGTATCGATACCATGTCTCTCGATACCACATGAGTACTCGGTATATTCCATTTGTAATTTTTCGTATTTGTATTGATATCTATACTCCATTCATTATAGCATTAGACAGAATGAAAATAACGTTCTTTTTATGATATACTTTGTAACAAAATGTTAACAATCATGTTACTCTTAAGACTAACGGCTAATTTGCTACATATCCGCTTAAATACCAGGTGCTACACTTAACCGTTGTCTTTTAAGCTATATATTAAACAAATTTATGAGTATCTGACTGACTTAAAACATTTAATAATTATAACAATAAAAAGTGTTCATCTGAAAGAACCTAAAGAAGCAGGGTTAGATAGTTTCGGCACGATACTCATGTCACTATAACTCTACTAAATTTAAAACGTTACCTAATCCCTTCAAACGTTTCGGCAGTACAGCTTTTTAATTTTGTCAGATTATGATTATGATTTATTCATAATAGTCAAAATACGTAATCTGGGATTGACATATATTGTGAATGCTACTACCTTTCTTGTTGTTTTGCCATTTTCGGTGATTATGTAATTACTGTTTTATTGTTGTTTTCTTATAGTTGTTAAGTTTTGCTAAATTGCGATTCCGGTGCAGGCCCGAGTGGCCTTTGCCATTTCAGCAAGTTTTTCCAATGTCTTAATCAATAGTCTAATAATATCTGAATAAATGTTATAACAGTAATAATAAAAATTTCATTTTGTTAACCTTTATTTTCTGGGCATAGATATAACTAAATTATATTCTAATTATATACACTTACGATCAGAATCAATCAAAACAACAGACAGATAGTTTTATTTCCATGATGGCTCTCAGTAAAAGATGAATTTAGAAAATGCTAGTCTCATCTCAACCCCAAGAAAATGTAAAAATTGCCCAACTCTTTCAGACTACCTAAAGTTCATAATTTCAACAAAACTATTATAAATATTTTTTATATTTATCTTGTAAATAAAATGTTCTGCACTGCTGCTTCTGAGATCCTTTTTTTTGTAATGTTATAATGGATGGAGTATAAGTTTCGAACTTTGCAAATTTCAGTTTTTTAATATGTTAGTTAAAGGAACGGAGATGATCTTTGGATCATTTTTTTTCCTAGAGTCGCCATCGAGTGAAGTGCTTTTTACTCGACTGCGCGACGTAAAGGGTAATGTGTTATCAGTCTATGTATGTATGTTTGTTTCTATGTGGCGTTCTAGAGACCAAATGTGTAGGCCGATTTTGATGATTCTTACGTCAATCGATTCGTCTTACCTTGCGAGTGTTACTTAAGACATGACAGTAATCAAAATTCACCACAGCGACAACCGGACGCAATATTGTCAAATTGAAAAAAGAAATCGACGAACTATATCAAGTGGGGTGTCGTTGAATAGGTATTTTATAATCATCTTTAGGTTCCTTTTATCACTTTTCATTTTAAATAATAGTTTAGGATATATGACGATTTAAAATTGTTTAACAAAACAATCATATTCATTAATTTTCTTAATTATTGATTTAAGATTTTATTTAAAGTATAAGCGATATACAAACAAAAAAAAAAGTGAAAAGTACGAAGAACAAATATTTTTGGTAAAAAAAAATATCTTTTATTCATCGCCAAGTCGCAGAGTAAAAAAAAGTTTACCACCAAGCTCGAAAGATGGCGTTGTTCATTTCATGCACGTTTCTGAATGGCGGTGTTAAGATTCTCCGCGTCTAGTAATCTGCATAAGCATTTATTATTTGTTTTATGTGTGTATCGATTATAAAACTGTTTCAATTGTGTAATTATTTAGTATTACTTAATAAAATTCTAAACTACCGGGCTTGTTTCTTTCTTTTTAGTTCTTTGTTGGAGTGTGAACTACAATTATTGGCGTTAATTTTTATCCCTAACACGTAAAAAAAACCTAATAAAGTTTATTTCTTAAAATTTGCAGACAAAATTTGTTGTTTTGGTAACAAGTAGTATTGTAAGAAGAAAATGCAACATTTTTAGGGACTACGAAAACCTGTAAATGGATGTCGACCCAGCCAATGAAAGATTTTGTTCAGTGTTCATGTCAAAATAGTGTTATTAGAGATACGCAAAATTATTACTTTTATATACTATAATCTGAAGCAGTGGCGTAGCTACTAAGAGGCTAGGCGGGGCAGTGCCCCGGGGCCCTCAAGCTCAGGGGACCCTCGAATCTTTACCAGAAAATCTCAATCGAACTCATCTTTTGAAAATTTCTCCCATCCTCAAAATAAAAATGACAGGTAACAACTCGAGTTTAATCATGGAAACTCAGTTGTGAGTAATTCCAAAGTTATAATTAGGTACCCTCCTTTGCGTCGCGCAGTCGGGTAAAAAGGGAATTCCCGTAAATTATTTGTGTGGGTTGACAGTGTTATTAATGTTTTCATCAATTTGTTGGAAATCAGTATCTGCATATTATTATTAATCGATATGCGTTTTTGTGATTCGCGATTGTGAACTTCGAGTCAAGATTTTTTTTCGAGAATCTATCGTCAAATGTAGTAACACTGACGGCGATAAAGTGTTTGCCGGGGATTCCCCAACGACGCCTTTTATGCCTATCGTATCATTTTCATTCATTCACGTTTCGCTTTCCTTTTTACTTGTAACGTTGTCAGTGAACAGTGAGTACCTACTTGAGTACAATCTTACATAAATATTGCATAAATAAATTTGAAAACTAATATTATGGACAAAAAAAAAGAAACCCGGTGGTGCATTTAAACGCAAACAACGCCAAGAAAGAGGAGAAAGTAAACAAAAATTGCCCAAAATTGACAAGTTTTTTAGTCAGCCTTCTGCAAGTACTTCTGGATCAAATATTTCTATTGATCATTTTTGTAAATAGCTTGCATGGCGATAGGTTAAATAACAGTAAACTGGTGCAACGTATCTATGATTAAATAAATATATAATAAACCCTTGAATCTTTTTTATTTCGTTTTATTGCCCAATACCTACACCAAGTATAAAAATAATTGTAATTTATGTTGTTAGTGTTTAATAGTTTTATTACCTGCCTATGCACGAAAAAGAGGTGATGATAAATTTATATGTATATTTAATGATTTTACTTCAAAAAACCTTACCAGTTTTGATAGCAGTGGGCCCCATTTTTTTATTTGCCTTAGATTAGATTAGGGCCTTAGATTACCTAGCTACGCCACTGATCTGAAGCTCAATTTTTATAAAGAAAACCAGAGTAGATACAAATAAACCTCAATTAATCAAAACATACAATTTAACCTCAATTTCTCTTCTGTTATACTATTTATTTACATCTTAAATAAATATTTAATAAATACGTTGGGTTGCCTCTGTTGAGGGAGACCTCCTTCTTGGTTTAAGATCTTTTTAATTTTAATTTAAATATTGACAATCTGTTCTGCACATGCGCGTCTATTGTTTATATACATTAATGTTTCTCTTCGTAAAGCTGTTGTCGGTGCTGTTTATGTTTTTATAAAGTACATATATATAATTTTGGTGGTAAATAAACTCATGTGATCTAAAAGCTCCCTGGTCTTTCTCTATACCCGTTTTACCATCGGGTATCAGCCTTGACATATCGCTCACTGGATAGTACAGTGGCACAACTCAAAAACCATTATTTCAAGAAAACGCCACAACATTGTGGTGGCATCCCATAGATAATTTAAAGAAAAGATATAAAACTTAACAGTAATAATATAATACAAACGATTTCACTGTTATGCTAAAAAAATGATTTTTATAATTATATTAGATTTTCATAACTTCGGAGAGCGTTTCTCGAAATAATGGTTGTTGAGTTGTGCCACTGTACTATTCAGTGAGCGATATTTACTTATGGGTGTTATTTAACGGGTTAGCATAGTATTCACATTTTTGCTAGCAGAAAAATGTATTCTGTCAGTTGAAATATATGATTGGTCAGCAGACCATGGCTAGCAAACAATATCAAATCAATCGACAATTTTTTACATTCTGGACGGCTGTAATTATTTTTTATTAGCATAATAATCATATAAGCTGCAATGAGTGACGCATATTAAATACAATTTTGAACAGCACTTAGAGGGAAGCAACTAATCTAATTTTGTGAAGCATATAAAAATAGCAATAATGACTGGCGCAAAATGGGCGCATTCCTTACAAAAATAATGAATGGGTAATTAGAGTAAACTAACTAATTAAATTAACTGCCTCCGTGTCCTAGTGGTTAGAGCGTTAGGCTCTCGATCCGAAGGTACTGGGTTCGATTCCCGGTGGGGACACTCTCAAATATTTCTTTGTGAGTTTTTCCCAGTTTGGTTAGGACATTGCAGGCCTGAATCACCTGATTGTCCGAAAGTAAGATGATTCCGTGCTTCGGAGGGCACGTTAAGCCGTCGGTCCCGGCTGCTACCTACAGTACTCATATAACACTCGCAAAATATCAAAATTCATACTAATTAACATAAAACAAGTTGTTATCACTGTAATTTGACAGCTACTAATCGCCCGCGTAGACACCGAATGACAATACACGCACGCGATTGGCTACAAGTATCATGCGACTACTCTTGCTCTGCCCACTTTTAACGCACATTGAAGACTTTTCAATGCAAACCAATTAGTTATTCTTCTAACCATGCTTTAAATACGCAAACCGATCAAATGAACTGCTAACCGGACAAATATTTCTTGCTGACCAATCCTGAATCTTTCTGATCAAGTAGTTATTTTGGGGATAGACTGTTTATTTGACATACACATATTATTTTAAGCTGACTGTATATGATTAAATTACTGATCATTATCAAGATTATTTGCGAAACAAGGATTGCCGATTGTTTTATTTTTCTTGCATACAAAATCTTAAAATGCTGATCAAACGATTAAAATACTGATTTTTGTGGCTAACCAATTTTTTTTATGGCTGACCTTTTAATTACTTCTCTTTACTTATAGGCGCGTGACGCCACAAATACCACTTGATTAGCGCCATTACATAAGAGTAGCGTTTTTTTGCGCGGTTTTGGCTATATAAACTATTTTAGGTACCCATTAAATCTATTGACAGTGTGCTTATAGTGTATCAAACAACCATTTAAAATAATTTTCATAGAAGTGTCAAATACCTTATTATGATTAGTTTGAAGTGACATTACCGATACAAATTCATTAAACCTTAATAGAAGTTTGTATAACCGACCGATAGTTATATATTGCTTCAAATTTTCGATTGGAGTGCCCTCTCTACCTATAAAGATCTCTAACTTTAAAGAATGAGTAGGAGAGTGACTTAATACACTTTACCACAGACAGAGAAAAAGAAAGTCTTCTTCTTAACTTTAATGGCACTTTGCGTCACATTACTGCAAACAAAAAAAAAGAAAGTCTGAAGCACGCAATTTTTTGACACTCCAAATATTTACTTCACAATACTATCTACTTGTTACTCAGTTCTAAAGTATCGATGCCAAAAGTACTTGATATCAAATGAAAAATATCGAGTAAGTACTTGTATCGTTCACTTATCGCCGCTACATGCCAAACTGATAAACGAAATCGTAAGTCTGTGGAAGGATCAAAAGGTGACATAGAAGTATTTAGGAGTTTATTAGGTAGAGTAAACGCAAATAGGCCATGAATTAAAAAATCTAGCAGTGTCAGGCTGACAGCGCCACCCTCTTCGATTCTGAAATGAATTCTTATGCCCGTTCCCACTAGACTTGGAAGTCGCCTAATTTACCTTAATATTTAGGAGTCGCCTTAAGTAGAAACGCATTCACTTGGACCACCTAACGAAATTTGGTATATATATATTGTTAGTCATGCGGCACCTTGCGCAAAGTATTTGTGTATATGACGGGCCATAAATAAGGTCAAAAAAAGAATAAAAATATTTGGAACTTATCTGCTAAAACAATTCGTAATATATAAAGCTATGCCTTGTTTTAGGTTATTAAAAATCGTATTAAGTATGGCGCTGCTAGGCCGATGTCAGGCTGGCAGCCTATGGCCTCTTCGAACAATTTAAGTTGCAGAGATCTAGCTGTAACTTGAATCATTAGAAGAGGGTGGCGGCGCAGCTACGGTGACATACGAAATTTAAAATAAACTACTGAATAAAAAACTACTTATATGAAATTACTTTATTGAACATGTAAAATCCGTATTGACATGAGGAATGCTAATTCTCATTTACAAATAACACAAATGTAAAATTTGAGAGACAAATCACATCGAAAACCTACCTAATTTAACTAAAAATACAACATACACATCAATTTCCTAAATTACTTAATCGTTCGACACAAGACGCAGTCAAGCGTCATCGGTTCTTAGCTAAGTTTGGTATTGTTGTCATAATGCAATTTACAGTGAGAAGAGGTAGGTTTAACTAACATTAAGTCATAATTGAATAGTCTCTAATTTTACATATTGGTAGTTTGACCAAAACTGTTATGCCATGTGGATTCACAAAACATTATTAAGTATGGCATATTAAAATCAAAGCACAGCTTTAATACAATATAGAGCAGAATTGGGAGTTGCAGACATACAAGTTTTGATAAAACCAAATCGTACATCACAAATGTGAGCATCCAGTAGTCACAGCGAACTTAACGAGGGAGGGCTAACTGTACAATTCCCTGGTGTATACATGCTAACACTTAAACATTATTTTTTTTCGAGGCTTGGAAACCTAGAACCTAGCCTGTGGTGAAACTTTCCAAATTCTGCAGTCATCTTACAACTATTACCACTAAATACTACAATATTATGAAGTATAATAATAACACAGAAAAAATTCAACAACTTCATTAAGACCAAATTAATGGTTTTCACTATAAATTGCATCCAATTAAAAGTTAAAAATCAAAATGTATATCAGGATAGAAAAAAAAAGTGAACTGCAGTTACAGACTTTGGAAAGTCAGTCCATTTTAACTTTGTAATAAATTAAGTCCAAGTAAATTATTCAATATGAACAGAATTATTTTGTAGGTTGGGAGATCATTCGCTTTCTTCCTCTTCTTCCTCATCACCCTCTTCCTCCTCAGACTCATCCTTCTTCTTCTTGGCCTTCTAAAATTTGCATTTTTATTAGAAATTTAATTAATAAAAACAAAAACATAATATTATCAAAGTATACATCATGACAAATTGGTTTCAAATATACTTACAGCAGGTGCCGATGCTTTCTTGCCTTTTTTCCCTCTCTTTTGGGCCTTCTTGCCACCTCCCTCACCACCACCACCATTTGCATTATATGACTCTAAATCTTTTGTGTACTGTTCTTTTGCTTCTGCTGCTTTTTCTTCCCAAACCTAAAATTTGATGTATTTAAGTGTTACCTCATTGCATATAAAACAAAAAAATCTAAGAAATATATAGTCATAAAAAAAGGAAAAATACATACACTCTTATCTTTCATTGATCTCCATATTTCACCACCTTTTTTGGCAATTTCCGTAACTTTTAGGCCAGGATTATCGGCCTTTATCTTTTCTCTTGCACTGTTGAGCCACAGCATGTAAGCTGACATTGGACGCTTAGGCTTGTCCGACATTTTAACTTTTTTCCTGTGAATTCAAAGAAAATATATAAAAATCGTTAAATAAATGCTAGGCAACAGGTTATAATGTCCACGCTTTACACTATACAAAAGTAAGCGAACGCTCGCTTCACATTGCGTACAACTAGGGCGGCGTTTTGGCGGGAAACGAGTTTCTGGTTTCATTCCAAGGAAAAAAACAATATCTAACGATTATTTAAGCTTTTCCCGATCAAATGCACTAATCTCAATACTTAGATTATGTAAAAATCAATGAAAATGGTTATCGCTCCATATAACGAGTTCACTGGCCTAAGCTTGGCTTGTACGAGCCATTTTGTTTTCACGTATTGTGTTGAAAATACGCAATAACTAAAGATGACATAATTACTAAATAATCCCACAATGATCAAACTAAAAGTTGTGGAAGAATTGTTTCAGACCTCCAATGGAAAAGATAAGAGAAATAAATTATTGAAAATAAGGCATCCTGCGCCATACCCACGCGTACTAAGGAAAGTACGACGAAGCGTATAGCCATGTTTGAACGCCAATTCCAACGTGGAACGAAATAAAATTCAATGAATCCCGCTTTAGATAATTCAATTAATATTATAATAATGTTAAACTTTATAAGGAAAAATGATTAGACTTACCTGATGGCAAAAATTTTGAAATTCTTTTTGAACTGGCACACAACCAAACTGTAGACGTAGAGAACCAGAAGAAATGTATGGAGCTCGAAGCAAATGTTCCCAGTGCTAGCTAGCTTGGGGTCGTATCGCGTCAGCACTGCAGCGCCATCTATGCCGTCTGTGATTGGTTGATCGTTACAATACTACCAACTGCAGAAAAATTACGAAGCATCTTGTACTACGTGTATCCGTGACGTGTTGATGACAGTTTCAAATCAAAATACACTCTATATTAATATCATAGAGTCGGAATTACAATACTATTTAAGTCTTCATACATTTACTTCCTACAAATATTTTGCCAGATTTCTTCTAAAATAAGGTGTGAATTAAGGTAATATCACGGATTTAGACTAGCTTATACTCAAAAAAATATTATATGTAATTATGTTTCATATAAAATTATTATAAGTATATCAAAAAGTGACCCTGTCTCTACAAGCTCCCCTTACCAATTCCGACCAAAATGAACTCGCGCCTTATTTTAAATGCCGCCAACGTTTTAATTCGAAACGTAAAAAGCGCGGCAAACGTTAGCGTGAAAGGGACGCCAATAAAACATAGCGCTTGAATGCCACCACACACGTTTGTTTACGATTTGATATTTGAAGCAACTTGAGAAATAGTTTTTATTTCTTGGGATATAAGGGTGTAATATTTTTGATGCTTATGATCATTATGATAAAATACATTCTTGTGCAACAAATGCACATATTTTCTTAGAATTTTATATCAAGTGAAATCGGTACCTCCACTTACTAAACTTAAAAAACTCATTCACACATAGCATAACATATCATACAAAACAAGTAAGTGAAAAGACACAAAACCTTTACTATAACCCATACAGGGTTATCAACAAACAAGCGTTTGAGTAAATTCACATTGATACTGCATCAGTATTTAGTCAAAATACAGAAGAGACTAGCAAAGGTAAACTAGGTAAACGAGGTTCTACGGGAATAATAGTTACTCCTGGAAGGTATTTTGCGATTTGCTTATTCTCTGTGTAATATTAATTTGGGCTGATACTAAAACTGCAATTTTAGTAGGTATACCTAAATTTACTCTGATGCTAAACTTTGTTTATTAATAACAATGTTAGATTCTAATTTTCATAACTCATTGTTACAGTCAAACTATAAATCTCGTACTCTATACAGTATCTAGGTGATCCAACAGATCTAACTAAAGTGCTTATGTATTAAATGAATGAACCTATAATTCATACTTTTACTAGTTCATCTACACAATACTGATTATGCATTATGTAAACATATAGCCGACAATACCTTTTTAAGTTTCTCGTTAATTTTAGGTACTGAGATTTTACTACTGAATCACTTACAGAAAACACTAGATGCCTCTTTAAAAAAATATTAAAGTTATTATTAAAAAATAAATATTGTATTTATTCCAAATAGTATATAGGTACTGCAATAAATTCATAACATCTTTTATAATTACGCCTATTTTGTAATGAGTAATAGGGTTATTAAGATTACTTTCAATGAAAAGTGAAAATTATGTTACTAAACATTTCTTGAAATTACGTAAAGGGTAGGTATGGTTAGTTCTAAAAGTGTATTTGAAGACAAAGATAAAACGATATGATTCCAAGAAGCTGAACGAGGACGGCGCAACAGAGCATCAAAAAATATTTTTGGTAAATTTCCTTGATCAGTAGTACCACCGATTCTGCTAAAAGAATTTATCAATTTTTCCTATCAAAAACAATTCTTAAAAACTACAAATTTTGTTTCAGTAAACTTAAAACATCACAAGGCATCATCAAAATAAGATAGATGATGTACCTAGTTCATCTAGTTCTTTGGTATGAAAAAAAAACTGATTTTGATAAAATTTTAATGGAGCTCCCTCGAGAAATCAAAAGAATTTTTAAAATCGGCCCACTAATGAGAAAAATATTATGGAATATGCTAAAAAATCAGTCAGATGAGCAACCTCTAAGTAAATATAGAATAGTTATGAAAGAAAATTGAATTTTATAGGTATTTTTGTGATTTTTTCTACTAGATTTTTTTTAAATATTCTCTTTAACATAATTTTAGTACCCTTCGACATATAATGGAGACTTCTAATGATTACAGTTTATTTCGACTAAAGTCTAGTTCACATAATCCATTTATATTAAGTTTAGTAGCGCTCATATGCTTAAAATAATGTCTAAATGGCCGTGCGATTATTGTTTCTTAGAAATGCCAATAGACACTGAATATAGAATGTATTTTTGTCCGTAATTAGTAAAAAAATCTAGGTAGATAGATAGCAAAGGGCTGGTTGAAAAGTATGCTTTGTTCAATAGTTTTTTATTTTGTATCGTAAATGTATGTACCCTAACCTACCGCAAGCTTGAGCCGAGCGAGTTCCGCCTTTGTGTGAATAATACAAATACAATAAGCACCCTTCATAAGAAATGAAGTAGAATTTGTCAGCGGGGTGTGTGCGTCCCTGTCACACGGCTCAAAGCTTGTCGGTCACAGTAGGTAGCGGTATTTTTAGCGTCCTTTTCCAATTTAAATACTGACTGATGGAAACAAATAAAAGTCCTATATTTTATACTAGCTTTCCTTCAACGGCTTCGCCCGCATGGTCCTGTATTATAAATATAAAATCTCTCGAATCACTATGTAAGATATATTAAAGAAATCCGCATAAAAGTCCTAAATCTAAATCGTCGTTTAGTTAAAATATCTCAGCGTAGAGACAGCGTTTGTTTGCCTGGAATATTTTGAGTCTACAAAGACGTTTGACCATCATAGATTATAATATATATTTTGGAAAAAATTGGAGAGATTACCTAGTCTAGCCATAAATTCTGTTACTGGCTGTTACATTAACTTCTACGATACAAAAATAGACTTCTTCCCGCCATTATTCTATGTTTTTTGTTTAGAAATTATTTGTTTTGAAAATGGAGTGGGGCACTTAAAAGAATAGTGATAATAATTTTAAAATGAAAAGCCTTGGGTTTCGATATTTTTCTATATAATGACATAATAGAATAAAATACAAAAGAAAATATTAAAAGTATACAAATACTATATAAAGAGGTTTTACTGTCGTCGTCGTCGTCGGCAACAAATAGGATTGCATTAATTGCACTGTATGTACAAAGTAGGTAAGGAGCCAGCAGACATCTTTGATACATTGAAAAGGCTAGGGATTAGAAGAATGTCTGTGTATCGTACCATCTAAAGGTATACTGAAACCATGTCTGTTGATGACCGTGAGAGATCCAGCCGACCGCGGTCTATTCGATCAAACCAGGCCATTATTGCAGTCAAGGCCAGAATTCGTCGAAATCCTATAAAGAAGTAAAAAATCCTTTCCAGAGAAATGAGACTCCTACCGAGGACTTATCTCGGATTATCAAACACGACTTAGGGACCTAACGGAGATACACAGGACATACCTAAAATCAGACACTATAACAAAAGAGAGTCGAAACATCAAACAGTTTCGATGCGCGGACGAAAAACACAGAAAAAATCTCTTTACCGTTGAAAAAAAATTTACAATCGAGGAGTACTACAACAAACAAAATGATCGAGTGTATACACACAGCTCTAAAGAAGCTTCCGAGGTAGTAGCCAAAGCTCAGCGTGGGGTGTTACAAAATTCCATTTTTGCGAAAAAGGAATGAAAACTTCAGCCAAAGAGTAGTAGTTAAACTCTCAACAACACCTTATTCAAACTCGAAGTGTGGACATTTCAACAGTATTTAACCCCGGGTCATAAGGTGCGCACTACCCAAATTTGGCTTGACCAAAATGTTCCAGACTACAGATTGGCCTTGACTATAAATTGTGGTCTGTGCTTGAGCGTCATCCAAATATTGAGTCTCTCCAAAAATCTTTGGAGGCAGCAGTGACAAAGTTTCCAATGGAAACCGTTCGTAAATCCATCGACGAATGGCCCGACTGTTTAAAAGCGTGCGTTGAAGCTAAGAGTGGACACTTTGAATAACTAGTTTAGTACGATAAGTTATCTTTTTCACTCTACATATAGCCAGTTGCACAAACGTACATTAAAATTTTCATTAGTTTAATGCGACATTACCCATACAAATTTGATATTCATTAGAGCTTAAGGGCGTCATTAAACCTTAATGGACATTTGTGCATCTGACCGATAATCACATATAAAACTTTAAAATAAGATTACTTTTTTAATAGAACTTATGGCTTGACTAAGAATATTTTCATGAATTGTCTGAGCCGTGTTTGTAGACATTATTAGCATATTTAATCATAGATTCATTATATAAAACCATAATTCTACTGCATCAATATGCTCACCTGTTTTGCTCGCATTCATAGCTGCGTTATCGTATACCACCATAGGAAACTGGTATAAAATAACTATTTTTTTTAGACATTTTTACCTCAAAGTTTAAGTCGAGTATATATATATATTAATTATATTGAAAATAGTTTTAAACTGTGGTTTTAAACTATGATTCATGTAATAAATCCACGAAATCGATTTTTTTTATTGACATGCAGCGACGCGGCTCCCCCTGAGATGGCGATGCATCTAACGTGTCATTATTATGTAATGGACAAAGTGTATAATCGGACATTATAAATAATGCCCGCCATAACATCGATAACATGTAATATCCTATGGCTAGAGAGTTAAGCAGTCGCATCCCAAATATGTATGTCAAATGAGTTACTATTTCTTACATAAAATAATTACATTGTAATTATGGCGCTCCGAAAGCTTACTTGCTGGGTGATTACCGTCTTTCTTTTTATTCTATCGGGCTCGACATATGACCTGTTTTATTTATAAGAGAAATAAATGAAAGACACTGTTTTATTAAACACTTATAATACATATTCACGGATTTGAGTATCTCTTCAAGAGATTGCTTCACCAATTTCTTAGGAATAAACACAGGGTAATAAATTATCATTTGCAATTCAAATTATGGTATAACAAACCAAATAGAGAATTTAAACAAAAACTATACACTGACATACTTTTTCTATATTTTAGTATTCGGCGTTTTTTACCCTGAAAATACAATGTTTCCTTATTTAATGTTATAGACCTATCTCGTACAACTATAATTATAGGTGTACCAGAAACTGATGTAAGAAAAAAAACAAAATTAAAATAATCTCGATTTTTCTACGGCAATATAAATTGACAACTGTCAAGTCAGAGTAATTTTGTGAAAATGCCCAAAAAGCCACTGATATCTCAAGCGAGAAATATTGTTTTTAATGTTTATAGCAAAATTTTTCAAAAGAAGCTAAAGATCAATGAAATTCTTTGATTTAAAATCAAGTGTGTTTCTGAATTAAACGGTAACTAGCAATGACGAGTCTTGATGCTTAATCTTTTTTTTTAATAATGAATTCGTAAATATTCGTTGGCGTATCGACTACTATAATAAAAAAAAAAATTGTGAAGGATAAAATATGAAGTTATTTTTCTACACCGGGCAAAAATAGGAAATGTGAAAAGAAAAAAATAAACTAAAGCAATTTGATTAAGATGTGTAAGCGTAACAGCAGTTGCAATATTAGGACAGATTAGTGATAAAGAAATCATAAAGCTTCTTTTATCTATTCGTGTTTGATTCCCAGTCACGTAAATACTATTGCGTATTTTTTTCTGGGCTGGGTGGTGTTCCGTTAAAATATGATGTTGCTAATACATATAGAATGTACAGGTGTACATATATTTGTGCCCTATTTTAAGTCCCACGCAAATGACTAATCTCTGTCAAAATTTGCCGAGATAGAAATATGGTTAGGAGTACATTCAATGCTAGGCAGCTATTGTAGTGTTTATTATAATAAAAATATTACAAGTATTAAGACATCTCTATCCTATTTTTCCCATGGTGGCCTTCTGCAAATTAAAATTTCCCGTGTTGCCATTAGATTCTGGTACACCTACATAATAAAATATTTACAATACAAAAAAGTTATATTCTACTGGGAATGGGTTACAAATTAATCACAATTTTTCATAACACCATCGGAACTTTACGTTGTAATAGACTAAAATCTATGACAAATAAATGTTGATAATTAATAACGTCATATGTATTTTAAAACTTTTAACGGAAAATGATTTTACAAAGTTGCCTAAATTAATATTAAACGATGATAATTAATCAGATTCACTACTTTAGGGAAACTTCAGGATTGGCAGACACAAATCAAAAATACATTGTTTCATTATAAAAAAAAATGTTTTTATGTTAATTAATAAGGGAGAATCATAAAAATAGAATCCATTTTTTTTTAATATAAAATATGGATTTAATTTACACTTTAGAGCATTTTGAGTTTTTAATCATCAAAACATTAATACAATTGATTTCAATCCATAATACGATAATGATTAAGTTTCAAATCAATTATAGTAATCCTATGTACTGATGTGTATTACGAATTAGACCATAGATTTATTGTGATATTCATTAGTCGCTCCCGCTTCCGCTTTCATCACCGGAACCTCCCGATGACGCAGCCTCTGACGATGAGCTCTTGGCTTTACTCTTCTTCGTGTCTTTGCTCTGAAATAATGTTTTGTAAATTAAAATCTTTCACTTTTTTAGTATTTGGATGGTGATCACATATATTAAGCGATGAGTCCAGTAGAACGACTGCCTAACTATTCTTGCTATAATTTTTGCAATAGCTCTAAGAATGTTATTTTATAATGATATATTTTTTATTATTTATTACATTTGATAAATTTTGCATCCACAATGATATACTGAAAAATATTTTTAATAAGAAATGTTTAAAAAAAGCTAAGAGCAGTCTCCCGGATTATGAAAGGTCATGGGTTCAAGTCCTATTTCAGAATACCAGGGATAAAGTGGATTTTTTAAGCATTTTTCATTAAGAGTATTTTGGATTATTGTTTAAGTTCGAAATAACTTTGTTTGGCAACTTTTATGAGCATATTTTTATTTAATTCAGAAAACTTAAATATATATATAAATAATTAAATATATAAATAAGAACATTTTTAAAGCATATAAACCTATTTCATTAATAAAATCAATAAATCGTTTTATACCGATTATTAAAATATCTATAAATAAATTTGGACTTGGAAAATTTGGAGTTAATCTGTTTCAGTCGGTCAGTTTAGTTGGTCAGAGTGGAAGGACAGATATCATTATATAAAATGTTGCATATAAGTTTACAGTTTAGGATATCCAAGCGAGAATATAGACAGGATCTTGGTAACAGTCATTATTTTTGTCCAAACAATATTATTGAAAGTAAATATTTGAGTGTTGCAACCGATGAATAATCAATAATTTTTTTTTTTATTTACTATCAATAATATTTCACAATTAATAAAATATACTTCCAAGCACATTACAAACCACTAAAATCTTAATCTATGTGCCATAGTTCGCTATATATATATACGGTATTACAGTATTATTTGGTCGTTGCGATCCAGCATACACAGAAGTAGCGTTTTTAATTTGTTTTTCAAATTTTGTCGTTAAGTGAGTTTCGAAACTATCTAATTTATTTATGATTCGGGGTAACAAGTATTTCACAGTGCGATTGCCATATGTGTTCTGCGCACTTGTTATTACTAGTTTTCCGCAAGTAATCGAACTGTTTTTTTTACAGACCCATTAAAATATTCTTTCTTGAGAAAGTATTTCCAAAGGTTCGGAGATATAAGTTAGAAATTAAAATGCAAGCTCACCTCAGTGCTAGTGTTCTTCTTTGGTTTGTCTTCGTCGGTGGTGGTGGAGTCGTCATCTTCCACGTACTCTTTGCTGGTGAACTTCCCCCCGGAGCCGGCGCCGGCGTTGGCGGCAGAAGATTTGCTCTTTTTACCCGCAGGCGGCTTGCTCTTCTTTTCCGTAGCCTATGTTACAGAATATTTATATAATACTAATAGACAAATTAATTACAACAAAAATTAAAAAAAAAAATAACTAAAAATAAAGTCTATTTTAATATTCAATAAATTTCTATTGAAGTCAGGTGGTGGTTGTATGTTAAATATAAAAATTAACTACAATAGAAATTTCTTGTATATAAACCGAATTTAAGATAAATTACTGTAAAAGTTATACTAGATATTTTTATACTAATATAAAAAAAAATATAAAAGCAAAATAAAATATTTTGTTTATTTCAATGACAAAAATACGTCGTCTTAGTAAAAAAATTAATAATTGCAGCAAAACTGCTTTCCAATTTTGATATTATTTTATGAAACCGCCTTTGCTCTCGAATAAAAAAAAATTGAATATCAGTCTACGGTTCGAGAAGATTTTGTAGTCTGGTAAAAAAAAATTAAGTTTTGTATAGTCAGACGTACAGGAGCTCGTGACTAAAACGTCCAAGAGAACGAGAAACGAGAACAACAATACCCAGACCCGAGACAGTATAGAAAAGCTAATTTTCTACATTGACCCCACCGGGACTTGAACCCAGGGTATCAGATATAGCGACACCTCAAAATCGGAGAGTGCGCCACGGCCACGGAGGTAATGAAATAAAGTGCTTAATTTAATAACAGCTATTAAGGGTGAAAAATACACACCTTCCGTTCTTTCTCGGCTTGCTTCTTTTTCTGTTTGAACTCGTCAGCGGCGCCACTTTCCTTGTATTTCTTCATTGCTTGATTGTATTCTTCCTTCGCTTTGCTCGCTTTCTCCTCCCATTCCTGTTGAATGCATAATACGAACATTTAATACTTATTTTGTTTCGACTTACACAGTCTTAAAACTATTGGCCGTCTAAAGCAAGTTGACAATGATAGCAGTCAAGTCAAGCTCGAGACATGTTAACTCATTTTGGTCGGATAACGATTTAAACTGGTACTGAGGTTAGGCATTGTTTCATAATAATATTTATTATTACTCAATATGAAGTTGACGATTTTTTCGACACGTTAATATTCGCCATTTTATGAGTTCGGGTTTCCGGTGTCCCCGAAGCGTCAGTGTCAGATCTTACGTCCGTTGGTGTCGTGTTAGCGCGTCTTCTTCTTCTTCTTCTTTTTTAATTCATGGCCTATTTGCGTTTACACAATTCCGCCAATGTCACGTTTGTGGAAAGACACGTAAAAAAAAAAAATAATAAAATATGTCAATTTTGAATTTTGGGGTAATAAATAAAACAATAAAAAAAGCTCCGAGCGCGTCTACCTGATTAAATTGTTTCGTATTAGCTTTTCGAAAACAATCTAAAATCGTTAGCACCTAACAGAATGGGCAATCCTAATGTATCAAAATCTCTGCTGAACTTAATTTAAACACTAGATTTTGTATCGATAAACTGTTATTTTGTATTCCGTGCCATAAAAGAGAACTTCAATGAGTGATTTATTCTAAATTAAAAAATATATAGCAACTGGCTACGGATTACTGACTTAATAGTTTCATGTTAATTCATTGACGAATATACATACTTATTTAGTTGGTTTGTGTTGGGATCAAAAATATATTTTATATATTTTATTTTTTAATGTTTTCGTTGGTTTCGATTGTTATTGTTAGTTTTGTTGTTACTTGTTATGTTTGACTAAAATAGCAACTGCTATTATGATTTTCACAATGAGTAAACATAATTTCACTAATAATAAATATATCTAATGTCTCTCATTTCATTATTAGTTTTGGTTATATTATAAAAAAAACTGATTTCTGTTTGTTATCGCGTTTTTATAAAGTAAATGTTCTTGTTTTCATATTTCTTTTTATTTTCCATATACCAATTTTTTTTACATATAAATTGATTCTTTTCCAAAAATTCATGCAATAAATTAACAAACTAAAGGTTATTAAATTATTTATAACAATATTATTAATTATTGAAATATTATTCATAAATATTTCAATAATTAATAAAAAAATTATCTCTCGCCTTTTGTGCTATCTTTACTTTCTATTTTCATATGACGTCACGCGGGTGTTATTTAGACAAGGTTCCAGCGCATTAGCAATTTACAGTACTCAAACTATACTCACGCTCTTGTTTGACAGATCCCGCCACAGTTCCCCGGCCTTCTTGGCTATCTCGGTGACCTTGATGCCGGGATTCTCGTCCACTATACTCTTGCGGTTCTCGTTCATCCACAACATAAACGCGGTCGCCGGCCGCTTGGGGGCGTTAGCGTCCTTCTCGCGTTTCTTCGTCTTCTCTTTGCGTTTGCGGGGTGCTTCCGACTAGACAAATATTTATTTATATATTACTACATGAACGGATGTACTTCGTATCACCTCTCACAAATATATCAAAAGTAAAAAATCAGCTAAATCGGCCCAGCCGTTCTCTCGTTTTAGCGAGACAAACGGACAGCAATTGATTTTTAAATAATCCCCATTGGCTCTTTACGTGCCCACTGCTGGGTCTCAGGCCTTCCTTATGGATGGTTAATGAGAATGGGCCATAACCCTGGCCCGATACGGATTGGAGGGGATTAACGGCTTAACGTGCCTTCCGAAGTACCGAGTAGCTCGAGATAATTTTTTTTTTTTTGGTCACCCATCCCGTGTCCGAACCTTGCGAGAGTTGCTTAACAATAACGATCGCCGGCCTCGGCACTTATCGACTACGCCACCGAACTTACTCTCTGTATTTTCATTCTACTCGTATTTTTTATATATAAGAAGATTTATTAATAGAAGGGATTTCATTGAATATGGACGAAAATCATAATCTGATATATGTATATAATTATGAGGAAGGCAACGTGTGCCTCCTAGCAAAATCAGCAGCAGAAGATAGAAAAGAGATAAAAACTGAGAGGTAATGGGCTTTTATATAAAAACTTAGTGTTGCTATAATAATAATATCGCAACATGAAAAAACCAATTTGTCATGAAGAAAAAGAAATAAAATGTTAATACGAAATGTAAATAAAATATAAAATCAAAATATTAAATTTAAATTTTAAAATATTTGTAAAAATATTTCATTCGGCCGTTTGGGTGGATTGCCTGAACATTGTCACGGGTTCGAGTCCCATCTCAGAGTGCCAGGGACAAAGTAGATTTTTTAAAATTTTTCAGTATTGATCAAATATAATAATGATATAAGATATCAGGCATAAAACCACGAAATACAGATTTCAGCCAGAGGTCCCCTTAAGTACTGTTTTGTATAGAACTGATTTTCAGCTATAAAAACTTGGGAAGACAATATAAATTAAAAAATATATATATAAAAAAAGTAACAGTACACTTACTATGGTAATGGTCTTCTTTGGTTTTTTCTCCTTCTTCTTTTCTTTTTTGCTGTCATTAGAGGCGCCTGAGGCGTCTGAGTCTTCTGACGATGAAGGATTGGTATCGTATCTGAAATCAAAATAACATTTCGTTTTAAATCGAAGGGTAATGTTTATCTATATATACTTAATGTTCACGTTTGAGACTACACGAGACAGAGACATTGAGTAAGGAGAGAACAAACACGCAAATTATACAAATCGACGTTAAAAGCAAACACGTACACGTACCCGCAAAATCAAAATTATATATTTTAGAGCAGAAAAACTTTTATTATTTTTTTTGACAATTCTTATAAATGTCCATGGTAATAAATGAAATCCACTTTGTCCCTGGCAAATAAATGGGTTCGAGTCCCATCTCAGAGTGCCAGGACAAAGTGAATTTCTTAAACACTTTTCATTAAGAATATTTTTCAGTATAAATATAAAAAATAAACAAGATGTTCCTAAGTCAATTTGTACGGATATAAGATTTTTTTTTGTTGGAAGATTTTCTACTCTAAATAACCATTTTGGTTTTGCAGGTTACTACGTGATTTCCAGCGTCGATTATCTATATTCAGTTATAATTTTGACGACCTCCATAGCAGAGTGGTTCGCACGCCGTTTTCAAGGTGCTCAGACATGATGTTAAAAACAGATAAAGAAGTAACACACATAAATATAATAGAATCAAATCGAGAACTCCGTCTTTTATTGATCTGTTAGTGAATTAAAAATAATAATCACAAAAACAACTACACTTCTGATCGAGATAATACAGAAACTGGAATTTTTCATATTTATTTTGTGATAGTCAACACATTAATTCAACAAATATATCAGATTAATAAGACTAGTCAATAATCCAAAATTAGTGTACAGAGTATGATTATCTAACCATTTTTCAGAGAATGATCTTATAAAATCCTAGCAATAAAAGCTAACTATGCTATCCTAAGACTTATTAGAAATAAAGGATTATTCAGTAGGTGAAGATACCTGGTCTTTAGCTAATCATCTTGAAATCTAAAAAGTCGATGTGGTGTTGTCTAATATTTATTTAATTTTAATGATTTCATTTCATGTCATTTCCAACACTGCTTCTTATGCATAGATAATCTTCACGTATACGATTCTAACAAAATTTCGAGATTGATTCGCAATTTTTCGAATTTTCGTTCGGTGACAAATAGATGGACAGGTGTCAATTGTCATGTTAATGAAGGTTACCGTTGTTTCGCTTATCAGATGGCGCGACAGTTGCGAGTGATCCTACCATAGTTTGTTTACGCCGAGCCTTGACTTAAATCATACATAGATAAATCAATTAATTCAAGACATCAAGCATGCCCTATAAATGCTAACCTCTGTATTAGCTGTCTTTCAACGGGATAAATTTTTTACACATCTTTTTTTTACCTCCGTTTTTCAAGCATCCGTAATTCTTAATTGCTTTAATGATACGAATAGCCCAAAATAAGTCGAAATACGTGTATTTGAAAAATAAACGCGCGTAGTTCAGCCTCAAAGTATATATATTTGACATATTGAAGACCCCCTACACTAGCGCCTCTAGTGAGAAAATCAAACGTGTTAGCCCTAATTCTTACGGAGTTATACAGGTGTAGACAGTAACCGAAAAAAATTTTTTTCTGGTAGAATAAATATACTATTACCGATATTAATATTATTTGAAAAAAAAAAAAACTCATTACGTCACCGCAAACAGCGCCACGCCCATTTACTCATATCAGAACGCAGAGAATTAAACCATAATGCATACATAGAGCTTTAGAGGGCAATATATTAGTTTTAAAGGGCAATTTTACTTACTCTTCAGCGACGTCACTCTCCTTAGCCTTATCGGGATTGAAGTCCTCGTCTGTGCTCTCGTCGGAGCCGTCGCTGTCGTCAGAGTCGCGCTCCTTGGCCTCGGCCTTGACGCGGGCCAAGTACGCGTCCGGCTCCTTCTCAGTATCGGAGTCGCCGAAGTCGTCATCGTACAGAGCTTTATCCTGTAAACGCACGTCACAACCTTGTTACAGGCTAGAATTTTTACAACTTTTTAGGGTTCCGTACACAAAGGGGCCGTCCATTAATCACGTCATGTTTTTTTCAAAATTTTTTGACCCTCCCTCCCCTTTGGTGATACATAGTGAGATTTAAGACTACGCCCTCCCTCCTTCAAACAAATCACGTGTATTTAATTATAATATATTACTACACTCTCCTTGTGATATTTCGTGATTTTTGACGAATCCCTCCCTCCCCCTTTTGGGCCTCACGTGATTATTGGACGGCCCCTTATTGGAATGACGTGAACACAGCTATGTGTAGCTAAACAACCTTTATAAGTTTCTTATTAGACAGCTATCAATAAAAACCATCCAAGTGCAAGTCCGATTCGCGCACAAAGGCTACCGTACCATCCATATTCATACTTATAAATACGAAATTAACTGTTACTATGTAAATGGACTGCCCCTATGACTATCAGTTCGAGTGAAAAAGACAAAACACTATATAACTATACTACGGTTATACACAGTATTCTTACTTCCCCCGTTGGAGTATGAACTGGCGACGCCCTTGTCTGTGATCTATATTCGATATATATAAAAATAGTCTTAAATTATTTGTAGTTTTGATATGAAAATACAAGCTTAAAATACAAAAGGCCAACACTGAATCAGTGTTAGAGCTATTAGTTAAGTAGTTGTAGTCTTATAAGAGGCTAATATTGACTCTAATCTATAAGAGACTAATCGATCCAGTGTTCATTACAATAAGATCGTGAAGGTCTTATAAGATGCCATACAATGATTGATCATTATGTAGTATGTTTATAGTCTTATAAAACTGCAAATAACAACCCAAAATTTTCACTACAATGAGATGTTGATAGTCTTATATGACAAACGTAGTAATTGCAGAACCTGTTAAGGATACAAAACGTCTGAAAAAAAAATTTTTTTTCTTAGATGCGATAATTTCTTTGAATACTCTTATTTCCATTCAAAAACTGCATAAATGGAAAACATAATAAATGTGCACAGTTTATCTTTGTATTTTTTTGCGAAAACCGTATATTCACATATTTCTGGTATCGAACAAGAGGACCAAAATAATTTTAAAAATATTGAAAAAATACATAAACATATACTTACATTTTTGCCAGTATTTTTGACATGTAGTTTCTTGGACGTGATGTAGTCAAAGAGTTTATCATATTCACCCTTCTCGATACTGCTGAATGTATGGATGCTACCGGACTTTAGCTCGATCTCGAAGTCAAATGACCTAGATATTATATATTCTATTATTGTCTTTTACATAATATAGAGGGTGATTTGTACAACATCATAAATAACTTTTTATCTACGAATTTCACCTTATCCACAAGGTTTGAATGTGATATAATTTTCAAGAGTTCCAATTCATCATGTGTAAGATGTCATTCGAATGTGTCTTGTGGTTTTGCATTGTGTCGCATCAGAAAAATATCTATTTCATATTAATATAAGTAACTGATGATTCTGTTGCGACACAACACCCACATTTGTTTCCACATTTACTCTCTAAAATAATAAAGATAGCAAGCATATGCCTTCTGTCCCTTTGACATCAATATTAAAAGATTTCAAAGATACACACTTGGTAGAGGAAGCACCACCTCTGGCAAAGTTGACAGAGGCTATTTCTTCAAATCGAATGTGCACTGGAGGCTTGTGCACGTAGATAAAGCCTTTCTCTAATGGGTATAAATAACCAGCCGCAGCCTTGTACGAGCATGCGATCGCTGGCGTCTTGTGGTGCCTGTGAAAAAGTAATAAAAGATTTCATTATCCACCTAGTCACAAAAGTTAAAGCACAGGCCTTTTACTTGGAACGAAACATTTGGACCCAGTGTAGATTGCTGGGAGATTAACATTGAGATTAACAGTTTAATGTGAAGCACAAAGAAGTTTGAGATAACAAAGTCTCGGTCACCTATCTGATGATCAACCTTTGTAAAAGGTGCTTAGCCTCTGCAGTCATAGACCAAACTCTTCATATTAAATTAATACTTGAAGAACATAATTCATTGTATACTACAATCAATATGATACTTACCCTAAGAAATCACCAGGTCCGGTAACCCGTCTGTTAATGATTACCTTCATTATCTTGGCTAGTACTTCATATGTTGGCCCTGATAGTTCTTTTGTTATTTTACCTTCATACTTCTCTTTGAGCTCCTCTCTAAAACATAAATAATGTTAAGGAGTAAAAGTAATGGCGCCATACAAGGAAGTTAGTCACTATTTACCCGACTACGGCGAAGCAAAATGAGGGTTATGATTTTGGCCGGTATGTATGTATGTAGGAATGTAGATCCGTTCTCTTAACTTCGAAACTACACATCGTAATTATAAACGAGGCATCATTAAAAGCACCTTAGTTGTCCTCGTGCTATATGCTATGTGATGTTAAATTAAATTAGCAACAGCGCCCTTTAGAGAGCATAAAGTAAGAAACTAAAAAATATATATTAAAAAAAAATCATAACCTTGCTTTTCGCTTCGCTGTAGTTGGATAACAAAAACACTGTTCACTGTTTTTATCAACATACAGAGTGATTCAAGAGGTTGGTTTCATAGTATATGCATTATTATGCAGAAGTTTGCGGAAAGTTAGTTAAGGCCCTTTGTACCTCCACTTATGGTCAAATAGAAATACGCACCAAGACTAAGAATGCGCTCACTTGATTTCCATTTTTAATCAGCGAAAAAACAATTGCAGTTATAAAAAATATATATCAAAACCTGTTTTTTTTATATATCTATACTAATATTATAAAGAGGAAAACTTTCTTTGTATGTTTGTTTGTTAATTGTATTGAATAGGCTCAAAAACTACTGGACCGATTTTAAAAATTCTTTCACCATTCGAAAGCTACATTATCCACGAGTAACATATTTTATTTTGGAAAAAAAATAGGGTTCCGTAAGATATTTGGGTTTTTCGGAAACAAGGTGTGAATAATCAACCAGAAAAGTTACTTATTTTGCGTACGCTGCCTAAACTATAATAGATTGAACCATAAAATGTTCTAATTAATTGTACATCTTACAAATATCTACAAAAAAAGTCCGTGACACACTATAGCTATCTATGTCGACTGAGGCACAACAACTATTATTTTATTTAAAAATCATGATTTTTCTTTGGACTACATTTAAACGCGTTTATTTTACTTATGCTATTAATCCTTATCAAAATAAATTATTTCATCACTAAGTACAGTTTATGTAGATAATATTTGGTCTTCGAATGATTTAAATTGGACGTTTGGTTTTGAAGTTATGGCAAAATTAAAATATTACGATTTCTGCTACACGGCCCGTTACGAAGTGGACGTCACCATGGCGGGGGTGCGCTTGCGGGGAGGGAGTTTAGATCTATGAGTACCAGGTACCAGCAGACTAGGAGGGGGAAGCCGCTGGCGGAAAGCTAGTTTTTTATATAGTTAAGATATTAGTCATAAAAACAATCCAAAAAATCTATTTAGTTATCTTTGCGATTATTCTATCAAACCAATTGATGAAATTTATGTTTCTGTAATTTTCATAAAATGATTTAATTAGGCAAATATTTGCATAGCCTTGGAATAAAATTGGTTTAAAAATTGGTAATTTCGTACATAAAATACAAAAGACAAGGCATCAATTCTGCAAATTTTTATGTAATAACTAGCTGACCCGACAGACTTCGTCCTGTCAAAAAGCCTACATTGCTTAGACAACAGTGAGTGCTTGTAATTTAATATGAACTTTATACCATAGCAATAAAGCTCAAATTGACTACGTTTTAGTTACAAATCATTTGTATGGGAAAAAGAAAAGGGCTATGTTTAGGGTTTTTCCAGCAATAATTCTAATTTTTCTCGCCGTAAAAACCATCCTTGAACTTCAACGAACATTTTAAAAAAAGATTTGGCCAAATTGGTCGAGGCGTTGTTGAGTTATGCGCTTACCAACACATTTTGCGATTCATTTTTATATATAAGATTGCATCTCAATAGTAATATATACCTGAGTCCTAATTAGTGCATTGTCATCCTCACAAATCAATGGCATTTATTATATATTGCAATCTAGTAACAAGAACTGTCATAAAGGGTTACAGTTGAAGTGCAATTGACTTTCCGTTATAACACTGACATTATCAGAATAGAGATCTTATAGTGTATTTCTTACTCTGTAAACGGCAACTCCAAGCTTGTTTCCTCTTCAATACCAAACAGCAGAACCAAATAGTGATATCTCGTTTGCCCTTGCTTGATAGGTGGATCTAATGAAACCACAAAGAACATTTGTCTGGTGTCCTTGTGCGGCAAAAGGAACAGTCTGAGTACTGTTGACATGGGTATCTTGTAATCAAATGTTTTACCATGCAGTTGGAAGAATGTTTGGAACACTTTGATATCGTAACGACCACTGGAATATAAATGTCATGTAAATATTATAGAAACTGACAAATCAAATAATAATGTAGTGTCTAAAAATGTGTATAATTTTTATATGATTTACTTCATAGTATATAATATAAAAATTAATTGTTTCCCTGGACAAATTTTTGGTCAAATTTTTTAACCCAGTTAAAAATTAACTGGGTTAAAAAATTTGTCCATCAGTCAGATTAAACAAAAAAATATAAGATATGTATTTCTTTGCTTCAATTGAAACAAGAAATGACTTGGATGATAGGCATTAACATCGAGGATGGGGCTCCTTACTCAGTTTTGTAGAAAATGTACAACAGTGTGACGTCATGCGACATTTCAACTCAATGTATTGCCATAATTTATTAATAACGCAAAAAATAAAAAATATACATATTAAATAGTCTTCAACAATCTATCTGATGGACAAACAAACGAAAATTACTTATTATCCCTATTGATCAGCATTATTTCATAATAGGTATGTCAATACAGTTTTTTTGCAACTATTAAGAATACAACATTATATACTAAATATTATACACACCGAGGGGTGAGGCACTGGAGTTCTCTGAATATTGCGATAGCATCTCCCGAGACAGATATTACACTGGCCTTGTTCATCACTTGTTGGTGGAATGCCTCTACAGCGTCCATGTCTCCAGCCAGCTCATTAGTTGGGATATGAAACCTCATTTCCATTAAGGATACAGGTGTATCATCATTCTGCAAATAATTTTTGAGATATGTTTATATGTTTATATGTAAACTATACTCCATTCATTATAGTACAGAACATTTTATTTACAAGATAAATTTAAAAAATATTTATAATAGTTTTGTTGAAATTTTGAACTTTAGGTAGTCTGAAAGAGTTGAGCAATTTTACATTTTCTAGGGGTTGAGATGAGACTAGCATTTTCTAAATTCATCTTTTACTGAGAGCCAACATGGAAATAAAACTATTTATCTGTTGTTTCGATTGATTCTAATTGTAAGTGTATATAATAAGAATATAATTTAGTTATATATTTAGTATGCCCAAAAAATAAAGGTCAACAAAATGATTTTTTTTATTATTACTGTTATAAATTTATTCAGATATTATTAGACTATTGATTACGACATTGGAAAAACTTGCTGAAATGTCAAAGGTAATTGTTGTAGCCCACTCGGGCCTGCACTGGAATCGCAATTTAGCAAAGCTTAACAACAAAAAGATAACAACTAAAACAAAACTATAATAACACAGTAATACAAAGAAAACAGCAATAAAACAGTAATTACTCAATTATCGAAAATGGCAAAACAACATATTTTGACTATTATGAATAAATCATAATCTGACAAAATTAAAAAGCAGTACTGCCGAAATGTTTGAAGGGATTAGGCAACGTTTTAAATTTGGTAGAGTTATAGTGACATGAGAATCGTGCCGAAACTATCTAACCCTGCTTCGTTAGGTTCTTTAAGATAAACACTTTTTATTGTAATAATTATTAAATGTTTTAAGTCAGTCAAATACTCATAAATTTGTTTAATATATAGCTTAAAAGACAACGGTTAAGTATAGCAGCTGGTATGTAAGTGGATATGTAGCAAATTAGCTGTTAGTGTTAAGAGTAACATGATTGTTGACATTTTGTCATAAACTATACCATAAAAAGAACCTTATTTTCATTCTGTCTAATGCTATAATGAATGGAGTATACCTACTGATAATGTAAAAATTTTGATCTTTACACACTAAAATAAATTCATATATTAATAATGAAAGTCAGCATTTATAAGATAGCTTAGATTAACACAACTGATACTTTTAATTCTATTAGGTTGACTCACCTGCAAAGATACAATTTGGGCAAATTCAACAATAAATAAAAACAACTACAGTTCAAAATTAATTAATGAAAAAGAAATAAAATTAATGATTTTTAATGAATAATTCATAAAAATCTCCTCTCTGTCCTTGACACTCTTGAGATGGGGCATGAACCAATGACCTTTCACAATCCGGGCAACTGCTCTAACCAATGAGCTACCCAGGACCTTCAGTATAGCATTATGAATGAAAAATTGATGAAATATAATGAAATTTATGATTTTATATATTTAAAGAATAGGACTTCTATAAAGTAACATTTCTGCAGTTTTGGGTAAGGTCGTCCATATTACAACGTTTATCAGATTTACAACATCAATTCAAACTAATTTTGTATATAATTATTCTCACCTGGTGAAACTCAAGAGTGACTTCATTTTTACCAGTATTACATTGTGACACATAGTGTAATGGGATCTCAAAAGCTGTATTTGATCCAACATTGAAGCTAAGAACTGCACCATTAAACTTTGCAGTACCCCAGTTCCAACCTTTTAGAGAGAGTTCCTTTTCTAGCATGTCTTTGTTATAATTTGACTTGAAAAATTTGGCTACTTTTTCTTGTTCCTACAATGGGTAACAAATTGTTATACAATTCTTAACAATAAGTACTAATTTTTAGAGTGAAAAGAAACATACTCCATCTTTAAAGCCACCATATCTATGTAATGTGCCATTTTTCATAAAAACTCTGAGACCCCAAGAACCTATAAACTTCTGAAAATTAACAAGCTCAATATCATTGGCTGATATCTGTTCTACTTTGCCGGTTTTACTGTTTTTAAAAACAATGTTTTGGTCTGTCATCTTTAATCTTCCTGGAACCTGAAAATTGAGGCAGGTATTAATGGAAAATTGAAAAAAAATCAATGTGAAATTTCAATAACATAGATGGATTTTGTAATTAATTTTAAAATAGCATACCATAGCGCCTTTGATTTCTGCGGAAACATCATTATATTCAAGAAACTCCATTGTTTATGTGATTAAAGAGTTAAAATGATCAGTAATAACAAATAAACACGCGGGCAATAATCTCTTTCTTCTCACAAAAACCGCTCCAATGCCAAACTAAGATAATGACATTGTCAAATAGAGATGTATGAACTAGGATTGAGCAAAAACTATCGATATATCAAAATAGCGATAGGTTTTCCCGCGATATCAATTCCGATATTTATTTTCAGATATCAAATTCGTATCTTAATCGATATATATTTTAAAGTTCTGCAGTCTGCTCATACGTCGCATCATGTATTTGTTAAATTTAAAAAGAGTAGCTAGATAGTAGACTGCATGAGTTTAGAAATTACAGCCTATGACTGGCTTGTCTTTTAATTTGTTTCTTTATGACAATGACACTGCTTGTTGATTTGGTTGGTATCACTGAGAGTGCTCCTGATGTTAATATCAGACAAATACTGATTTGTTTGAATAATGTAATTTTTGTTGTTGATGATGTTGTTTTCTTGGTTTTATGCACCTATTTTAAATAACAAAACAATCAGGTGTTTATTTGCTTTAAAATTTCGAATATTTTATAAATTTTCATAGATAATCGCTTATTACGAAGAAAATATCGATATATCAATTATCGATATATTTTTGACAATATTTATCAAATACATTTGATAAATATCGAATCGATATGTTGATTTTTTTTTCTCATTTGCCCATCCCTAGTGTGAACTGAGCAGTAGCGACGGACGTTATATGCGATAGACATTTATTAACTAGTTATTTGTCTGAACCGTGGTCACGTGGTGATTCAGTGATACAATTATTGTCTATTTTCCACTACGCTTTAAAGTAAACCTGAATTCACTCTTAAGGTGATTACAATATCCGCGATCACCAAAAAGCAGCGATCACAGTTCGTAGCGATACCAAGACATCTTTATGAGATCAACGCTTTACATTGATGGCCATGTAATACAATTTTAATAACCGTATATAATGTAATCAGTATAAGTGTGAAAGAAATAGGTGTATGTTTGTATATATATTCAGCGTAGTTCGACTTTCAGGGTGATCAAATAACCAACTTAAAATTGAGCTTTATCACGTTTGCATAAGAGTAAAATTTCTCTTGATTTTAAAGCGTTATAGAAATAAGTATTTATCAAAATTAGTCAGTTATTATATCGATGATTGGCGCGCCAATAGCGGTTGCGTTACGTGATTTAAAAAACAGATACCGACCCATCACTACTGGACAAGATTCAACTATAATAGATTTTTTATATGAACTGATTTATTTTATCACTATACCGATTTAACCTGTATTTAGGTGAATTTTCCAATGATATCGATATTATTGTGCTTTTATGATTGAATAAATCGATTTCTTTGACACATTATTGCATCCCTAAAAATGTCACTGTCAATGTCAATTTGATAGCGTAAATTTTTCGTGCGTGAGGACGTGAGAGCTGAGAGTTCGCTGTTGTTCGCCTTTATTGTGGTTATTATTTATTTGAACTGTTTTACAAGAAAGTAATAAATAAGAAACTGCATAATTTTAAATAATTCCGAAGTCAAGTTTTAAACCCTTTGTATATCATAGTTAATATCTACGCCGGTCGGGTCAACCAGTCATTTGAAATCTAATCGTAGTCAATAATCGTAATATTTTTTGTGGGTGTGTTGTGCATGTAAAACTTATGGCGTCATTGTCATTGCCTCGAGTTCTTCAACTCAAGAAGAACAGCCTCGACGCTGAACGTGAACAATTTGAAAAGTTTCAGGTAGGTTGGTTGAACCTTTAAAATGAAATGATGTTACAAGAAATACCCTTCAATAATACCTTATCCTGTAATATTTTTATAAATAAATAAACGTTAACATATTGCGATTACAATTTGATGAGATGCACATATATGTACAGATTTGTTTTTATGTTTATTCATAAGGTTCATTATTGTAGCACAACATGGTGGCTCTAGAAAATTCCAATTACTTTGTGAAGAGGACACAAATAAATAAATCTGTAAAAATACTGTGATCAATTATGCATTCACAATGATAATAAAGAAAATTGCCAACAAAATTCACCAGTCCCAGGTACCTTAAGATATGATTCAAAAATATGTGTACTTATGACTATTATTAACATTAAATTTTAATAAGTAAAATAGTTTCTGGATTCATTAATTTGATTAATTAATGTTCATTTATTTTCCTAATTTAGTTTATTTAATTCATGCATATTTTATTAGTTTAGTATCGTTTGTCCAGCAAGAATTTAACCACATACACATACTACATAAATTGATGGTAAATGAAAAATTTTTGGTTATATTAAATAAAATTCTGTTGTGTTTATGTGGCCTGAGAATGATATACACTTCACACAAAAAAAATACACTTCAACGTCACAGCTGACAGACCCTGTCCATGATACTTTTGGCATTAGGGTAAATGCATCCTTGATTGTCACTATACTTCAATGTTTTTTTTTGCTATTGGTGGCTATATATTATATATATTTTGGTTTTTATTTCAAGCTTTTAACCAACTTTATTCATTTTGTTAGGACAACTTAGTTTTCAACTTGTTTAAATTTATAATTATTGTGTAAAATATGTATTCTTTTTTATAAAGCTTGGGTATTAAGCAAAATGATCTTATACAGTTGAAAGCATATCAGTTTAATACAAAATACATCATTTTTACTATAGATTTTAACCCTTCATCTGATGATAAATAAGTCTAAAATTGAGTACAGAGATATGATGTCTTACAGTAATTTGATGTGACACAGCATCATATCAAATTACAATAAGACATCATATCTCTGATATACATTGTCTAGCGCATGAAAGTAGATCCTGAAAAAGTGCAGCAACTGAAAATGCAAGTGAATGAGGCGAAAGTTGTGTGTAATGATCGTAAATTGTGCCATTTGGTCCTCTCTGCCTGCCCCGCAAGGGATATGGTGTAAAGATATATAGCCATTTGCACAAACATCCATTAAAATTGACATTAGTATAAAGCAACATTACCAACACATATTGGACATTCATTAGAGCTTAAAGGAAGTTCAGCTGACCGATAGATAGATAAAAAGTGAAATTTAACTACCTTTTTGTAATAAACTATATTCTGTTTATTTTTTCCTAGTATTGAATTTATGTGATAAGATTATACTAGTTTGTGTTTGTGTGCAATTTTGTGTTTTTATGTAATAAATATTTTAAAAATAAACATGTGTCATAAAGTTTTTTCTTCTTACCTGAATGTTTAGCAGATTGTTTGATGACTCTTTTGCCAACTTCAACTTTCATTAGACGAGACTTAGATACACCTTGTGACAACCAAGAATTGTGAAAAAATGAGGATCAATTTTCATGTGCAATTTTAAATTAAAAAATCGTTTCTATTAGACAAAACAATGGTGAATGAATTGTGAATATCATTTAAGTAATATGTTGTGGAATTTCTTACATCAATTTAAATATAAATAATATTGTAAAAGTAAAAATTTATACGGAGCTCAGTTTAACCCCCAATTTTGATAAGAGCACAATTGTTTCAAACTTTCGTAATGGATTTTGATACATTGAAATGTTCTATTAATGAATACAGAGAAGACACTATACTCCATTCATTATAGCATTAGACAGAAGTGAAATAAGGTTCTTTTTATGGTATACTTTGTGACAAAATATCAATAATCATGTTACTTTTAAGACTGACGGCTAATTTCCTACATATTCACTTAAATATCGGATGCCTTACTTAACTGTTGTCATTTAAGCTAACTATTAAACAAATTTATGAGTATATGACTAACTTAAATGATTTAATAAGTATTACAATAAATAGTGTCCATCGTAAAGAACCTAAAGGCAGGGTTGGATAGTTTAGGCACGATTCTCATGTCACTATAACTCTACCAAATTTAAAACTTTGCCTAACCCCTTCAAGCGTTTCGGTAGTACAGCTTTTTAATTTTGTCAGACTATTATTTATTAATAATTGTTAAAATCGTAATCTGGGATTGTCATCCATTATGAATGCTACTGCCTTTCTTGTTGTTTAGCCGTTTTCCGTGATGTTATTGTTTTATTTTTGTTGTTAAGTTTTGGTAAATATGGACGATTCCGGTACAGGCCCGAGTGGCCTACAAAAATTACGCTCTAAGCCCTCATACCTACCCTCAAACTTTGACATTTCAGGGAGTTTTTCCAATGTCTTCATCAATAGTCTAACTTATTACACTTACAATTAGAATTTATCAAAACCCGCAGATAGTTTCAGTTTTAATTCCATGTTGGCTTGGAACTAAAAGATGAATTTATAAAATGCTGGTCTCATCTCAACCTTGATGTATCATAAAAAATGGAAAATTGCCCAGCTCTTTTTAGACTACCTAATGTTCAAAGTTTCAACAAAACTAATATAGATTTTTTAAATTTATCTTGAAAATAAAATGTTCTGCACTGCTGCTTCTATGACCCTCTTTTTTCTAATGTTATAGTGAATGGTGTATAGATCTGTAAAAACTATTTAAATTGTGCCTAAAATAATTTGTGAATTAAAAATTATATTATCAACTGATGTCTCTTATAGTAACTGTCATAATCTAGTCCAACATATCCCACACGGCGTGACGGGCGGCAGGGGAAACGACTTGTTACGCCACAGTCACGGATGGTCGACGGGCGCGTGTCGCAAACCGTTGCATTACCTCATGCGTCAATGAACGGCCCGTTTTTCCCAGCTGAGCATACACTCTGATATGAACTTGTATAACATTACGTGTATTATTAATTATAACTTGATAATGTCTTAAAATTATAAATATCTTATCTTTACTTACGTTGATATTTGATAGCTGATATTTGTCATCAAAATTTCTTAACTTTTAATTTTAGTAGACTTTAAATTTTTTAACATTCTTATTTTTATCCTGTTTGCTTTATTAATTATCATTCTCATTTGTAAAAGCTTCGATTTTCAGTGTCCCTATTCGTTATCATTAACAGTGTAATGCTCTAGTCATTGTTGAGGCAGGTCTTACGCTTAAAGAAACACTTACGCGATCCTAATGCATGTTAGTGGGATAATAACGCCTTAACATGTCCTCCGAAGTATAGAGGATGGAATGTAAATAAATATTTAATTTAATGTCACCCAAATGATGGGCGGCCTTTGGACGAGTTTATGTAATTAACCTTCGCAATTGCAGACTGACAGTCATCGAACTCCTCATTTCCAATTTATTTGTTTTAAACACCGGACTTTTTTATCATTGGGTTATCAGATAACAATTGTTATGAAGACTTGTCGTTTTCGATAGCTTATCTATTTTGCTGTATTGTGAGTAATACCTAACGCAGTTTTAGCGAAGTTTCTAATAACTTTGTGGGTGTTAAAGTCATAGATAATATAAAATCAAATTCAAAAGTGATCCCTTTTCGTTCGTCTTGGCATCATTTTTCTGTGTTTACTATTTTTTTACGGTAAGTTAAAATATTTATGCTTTCATAGGTTTGATTGAAAAAACTATGACGTGACTACTTTCACTGAAATCAGATTAATCTTTTTGTTTATTTTAAAATTATAGCTATATTATTTTGCAGTTTTATGAAATAGAGCTCACCATTCAAATATAAAAAAGGTTTCTAGACCTTATACCCACGTCATTTCGAACATCTAATTGTTGACTTTCTTTGTTTTTTAGTATTGCTAGAAACCACGGTGGTGCGTTTTTCCTCATATCGCTGCCTTCTCACTAAAACTAAACCATAGATTACTTTTGTCTTTATTTACCTATACAATTTCAACATGTATAGGTACCATTTTAGCGGTGTATGAACAAATTCATATAATTAATATCTTCGCATAATTAGTAGGAAAAGTTTCTGTGTCTGTTCTGAGGTTAAACCAGCAGAAATTTATATACCTACAAAAAGTTCTAGTATAAACTTAACCTGAGTTAAAGATTGTTTTAACCTGAGTTGATATTTTGCTATTGCAAATTGCTGTACTGGTAACTTACGTTTATCGCTGGGAGAGTCAGTATGTGTAAACTAGGTTTGCTCCATGATCAGTAAACTGCCGTAACTATCGGCTTCCGCCCATATCTGGGGGGCCGGGCCTGCACTACATACTTAATAAACGTTAGAGCCAACTTTTGTAGAGTATGAATACATATAGTGTTACATATATTATGAAGGTAAACAATAGCATAATTAATTATACTAATATTATTTGTTAATAATGCTTATGTCCAGTCACGAAACTTAGTGAGCACGTAAATATTATAAGTAAACTTATTAAAGTTATGCATTTCCTTAAACAGAGAAAACTACCTTATTTAATTATCAGGAACTTCAATATGATAATTTTTAATATCTTGTAGCGATTCCATATTTGATATACCATCTTCGATAAAAAAATAAACTATTTTCCGAATATTTCACGCCGAAATTGCCGAAACTCAATATTTTACTGTGGATCTTAATATTAACCATAATAAAATGGGTTCTATAAATTGTGGTCAGCGTTATTACCATGGAAAAGTATTGCGTAATAATCCTGGTAATTGTTCTACGATCGTGCAAAATGACGCTTTTGAGTCAATTTTAGTAATTATTATTTATTTGCAATAAAGGAGTGCCTATGTTTTCTTGAAAATGAAAATGAATTTGCAATTTTTTTGAGAATTTATAAAATATCGGAGGTAATACTTAATACTATTCTTGATACGGAATTAATTTGCACAAAAATAATCTATAAC